TGCCAACTTGGGCCAGTGAAGCAACATCCTCCACAACTAGATTGAAGAACAAAAAGACAGCAACTTGTCTGTTCCCCTTCCTCCAATTCCCCAGCGCTGTTCCCATCCCCCTAATTTAAAAAAATAAAGAGTAAACTGAATTTTTTTTTCCCTTATGCAATGCAAGAGAAGTTTTCTAAGAAAATAATGAGAATATTTCAAGAGAAATATTTGTCTTACTTAGGAAGTAAACGTCTTCAAGTCTTTGAAACTACTTTGTCAACTTTTGTGTTAATACAAATTAGTTATGGAAGAAAATTATTCCAATTTATCTTACCTATACTAAATCTGAGAGAATTTAATTTAGTTGGTAACCTTTTCCTAAATATTGGTCTTGGTCTGATAAAACCATTACAGTTCAACTACTTTTAAAAATCATAAGACATAGGATATAAATCTAAGAAATTCAATCAACTCAAAAAATGATTCCCACAATGAAAAAAATATTGGAGAAGTCATAAAGAAATAATTAACTTTTCTGAGCTGAAGAAGCTGACTCTCTAGATTAAATGATATCAGACAAAATTGGATATCAGACAAAATTAATCACAGAATATTATCTTAGACATATCTTTGTATATTTAAATTTTAAGAAAATAAAGGGAAACTGGCCTATAAATATCTAGGAAAATCAGTTACCCACAAAGGAATAAAAATAAGATTGGTCTCACAATTTTCTATAATACTAAATGCTAGAAAACAATAAAACAATGTCTATATCATTTTGAGGAAAAGGTTATGACTTAAAATTTTATGTCAAAACGTTAATTTGCAAGAGCAAGATATTTTTAAACAAGCAATAGCATATTATTCACAAATCTTTATTGAAAAGCTAATGCAAAGGCTTTTTTCCAACCAAGCCAGAGATGACTCAAAATAAAAATTTAAGAACTGGAATGTAGAAATAGTAAGCAACTATACCAGTCAAATAAATCAACTTGTTAATATGTTATAAATTAACACCAACACCCAAGAAAGCCTTGATTAAACATATTTTTGAAAAAAATAACCATTTTCTATTAATCTGAGTAAAAAAAAAAAAATCCCAAGGTATATTCATAGGAAACCAGGAATTTGGAAAGAGACGCTGAAGAAAATGTACAAGTATTCCAAATTTTTCATGGGTAAGTTAGCAAATGGTGTTTCACTCTCAAAATTTGAAATGCACCAAAATTTTCAAGAACAAAAAAGTAATTATCTAGAACAGAAACAGAACGTGTATTTTCCAAATCATTGTTAGAAAAAAAATCCATATTACAAAAATAATATAGCAAGGAATCATAAATTAGTTATTATAATGATTACAAATGAGCTAACGATCTTTATTAAAAGATAAACAGATTCTAAGGTTATAAAATTGGAAATAAACAAAATTCTCAACAATACAGCATTTAATTGTAGTGATTCTAAAAGATGGAAAATCATGCATTCATTAAAAATTGTTTTTAAAGCAAATTTACATGTTCACAACAGCTATTAAATACAAGAGATTCAGAAAGATAGCAGGCTAGGGCCGGCCGAGTGGCTCAGTTGGTTAAGAGCTCGCTCAAGAGTGCGAGCTCTGAGCAACAGGGTCACAGGTTCGATTCCCGGCCCGAGCTGAGCTGCCGCTGAGCTGCCAACAGGTGGCAGGATGGTTCAGCTAAAACAAAACAAACAAAAAGGAAAGATAGCTGGCTAGACAGAACAGTAAAACAGTACAAAAAGAAATGCATCAAAATTTGACAATGTTGGGATTCCAGGAATTAGTGTTCTATTCATAGTTTTTCTATAGAATTTTTAAGAATTGACAGCTAATTTTTCTATTCAGGAAATAATTAACAACCATATTAACAACAAAAAAGCCAAGAGAAGGGAAAGCAGAGGAGATAAAAGCCCTATAGTCCTTATATTTTTCATGAAAAAATATCAAATATACATGTTGATCAGATAAAATAAAAACCAACCCAGTCCTCAGAATGCTGTGTGTGTGCACATGTCTTAACCGCACAAGAAAAAGACAATACAAATATGACAAAGGCTTTAATCTACCTATGCAAAGGTGCAATAAAAAACTGGGTGTATAGGGCCGGCCAAGTGGCTCAGTTGGTTAAGAGCTCGTTCAAGAGTTTGAGCTCTGAGCAACAGCAGTTTGATGCCCGGCCAGAGCTGAGCTGCCAACAGGTGGCAGAAAGGCTCAGCTAAAAAAACAAAACAAAACAAAACAAAACAAAACAAAAACTGGGTGTATAGATTAAGGTTTAGGTAAGGGAAGGGATCACATGGAAGTGGAGCTTTTCTAGAAAAAAGGAGTAGATTTTGCAGCACAAATAATGAGGTCAGCTTGGAATCACTTTAGGTTCTTGTGTGATATTTAGAAATAGGTGGCAGCCCGAAACTCAAGAGAAGTCTATGGTGGAGTAAAGACTTGGGGATCACTGGCACATAGGACTTTGGATTCAATATTCTTTTAAACCCACGTTTCAAGTTCTTGAATTAATAACTACTACTTCAAACAATTCTAAACCTAAATCCAGTGTTCATTCTTGCAGATTCTAAGATTGCAAATTTTATAAATTCCCATTAAGACTGTAATTGTTTTACATTTCAGAATTTCAACACGGGACCACATTCTAATTACTCCCTTATCCCTTACTTTTACAGTTATAACAATGCAGTAGATAAGATTTCTAAACACTTTATATCTGAATTGTAGTATAAAGAAAGCTGCAAGGTCAATGCCAAAGACTGAAAAGTCTCTAGTTGAGCCTTAGTCAAGCTCAAACAGATGACAGAGAATTAAGCTATAATGCTCTACATCATCCATAGTATATAAAGAATTAACTTAGCTCCTGTGTATCAGAAACGTTACCAGCTATGCACCACCTTTGAGAGAACTGAGAAAATAGCCACTAAGTCATTTTATGTAGGTCTTAATTTTGTGAAACCTGTTTGGGAATGATTACTTGAGATACATGGATCAAAGGGCAAATAAAAAATCATTTCTATTTGTTTTTGTCAGTTTTAATGAACCAATTTATTATTTTTATAATATGGATAATCATTAAAAAAATAAAGCTTTCTTCTTTCTTAACATCTTCCACAGATGAGAGAATTGATAGGCAAAGAGGAGTTCTAGGTATCTGCTAGCCCAGCTTTGGGGTCCTTACTCAATGTCTATTTAATTTTAATCAATGATCAGAAGTGTACATTCAGCAATGGAAGGAAAGCTTCAGTGCAATGATAAATACGGGCCCACCGACAAGTGATAGATAAAAACAAACTAAAAACGCAAACAAAAAATTTTTTTTTTTTAGCTGAGCCATCCTGCCCCCTCCCAAACTCTTTCTATGAAGCCACGATCACCCTGATTCCAAATACAGAAAAGACAGTACAAAAACAGAAAACTACAGGCCAATATCTCTGATGAACATAGATGCAAAAATCTTCAACAAAATCTTAGAAAACAGAATTCAGCAATATATTAAGAAGATCATACATCATGACCAAGTGGGTTTCATCCCTAGTATGCAAGGTTGGTTCAACATCCACAAATCAATTAATGTGATACACAACATCAACAAAAATAAAAATAAAATCATATGGTCATATCAATAGATGCAGAAAAAGCATTTGAAAAAATACAGCAGCTATTTATGATAAAAACTCTTAGCAAAGTGGGAATAGGGGGATCATATCTCAACATAATAAAGGCCATATATAATAAACCTACAGCTAACATCATACTCAATGGGGAAAAGCTAAAACCATTCCCCTTAAGATCAGGAACAAGAAAAGTCTGTCCACTTTCTTCACTTTTATTCAACATAGCTCTGGAAGTTCTAGCCACAGCAATCAGACAAGAAATAAAAGGCATCCAAATTGGTAAAGAGGAAGTAAAATTGTCATTATACGCAGATGACATGATACTATATATAGAGGACCCCAAAGACTCCACCAAAAAACTACTGGAACTGATAGACAAATTCAGTAAGGTAGCAGGATACAAATTCAATATTCAGAAATCAGTTGCATTTGTATATACTAATAATAAACTATCGGAAGGAAAAATTAAGAAAACAGTTCCGTTTACAATTGCTTCAAGAACTATAAAATACTTAAATTTAACCAAAGAAGTAAAAGACCTGTAATCAGAAAATTATAAGACACTGAAGAAAGAAATAAAGGAAGATTCAAACAAATGGAAAAACCTACCATGCTCATAGATAGGAAGAATAAATATAGTTAAAATGTCCATACTGCCTAAAGCAATATATAGATTCAATGCAATTCCTATCAAACTACCAAGGGCATTTTTCACAGAAATAGAAAACATAATCCTAACATTTATATGGAACCAAAAAAGAGCCCAAATAGCCACGGCTATCCTGAGAAATAAGAACCAAGTTGGGGGTACCACGCTACCAGACATTAAAACGTACTACAAGGCTACAGTAATCAAAACAGTATGATACTGGCATAAAAACAGGCACATAGATCAATAGAACAGAATAGAGAGCCCAGAATTCAATCAGGCATATATGGGCAGTTAATCTATGACAATGGAAGCAAGAATTTACATTGGGGTAAAGATAGTCTATTTAATAAATGGTGCTGGGAAAATTGGACTGACACATGCAAAAAAATTAAACTACACCACCTCCTTACGCCATATACAAGAACAAATTCAAAATGGGTTAAAGACTTAAATGTAAAACCTGAAACCATAAAACTCCTAGAAGAAAACATAGGTTTAATTTGCAGACATTACCCTGAGAAATATTTTTACTGATACATCCCCGCTGGCAAGGGAAGTAAAAGAAAAAATGAACATATGGGATTTACATCAAACTTAAAAGTTTTTTCACAACAAAGGAAACCATCAATAAAACAAAAGGGAAGCCTACTGAATGGGAGGAGATATTTTTCAATGATATATCTGATTAGGGGTTAATAGCCAAAGTTTATAAAACACTCATTCAACTCAACACCAAAACCAAACAACCCAATTAAAAAATGGGCAGAGGATATGAAGAGACATTTTTCTAAAGAGTACATACAGACGGCCAACAGGCATACGAAAAAATGCTCAACCTCACTAATCATTAGAGAGAGGCAAATAAAAACCACAATGAGATACAACTTCACTCCAGTCAGAATGGCTATCATCAATAAATCAAAAAACAACAAATGCTGGTGAGGTTGTGGGGAAAAGGGAACCCTGGTACACTGTTGGTGGGATTGCAGACTGGTGCAGCCACTATGGAAATCAGTATGGAGGTATCTCAAAAAACTGGAAATGGAACTACCTTATGATGCAGCAATTCCACTCTTAGGTATTTATCCAGAAAAACCTAAGACATTAATTCGAAAAAACATATGCACCCCTATGTTCATTGCAGCGCTATTCACAATAGCCAAGACTTGGAAATAACCGAAATGCCCATCGGTAGATGATTAGATTAAGAAACTGTGGTACATTTATACAACGGAGTATTACTCAGCTATAAAGAAGAAGGAAATCGTACCATTTGCAACGATATGGATGGACCTATTTTATGCTAAGTGAAATAAGTCAGTCAGAGAAAGACAAATACCATATGATCTCACTTATATTGTGGAATCTAAAAAACTGAATGAATGAGAAATGTAAACAGAAATAGTCTCAGAGACACAGAGGAAACACTGAGGGTTACTAGTTGGGAGGGGGTGGGGATGAAGGAGAAGGGGAAGGGACGAGACAATTCAAACTGGTAACTACAATATGGCCTCAGGGATAGAAAAGACAGTCTGGGGAATATAATTGATAATGTTGTAAATATTTTTTAGGGGCCAGATGGACTCATGTCTTGTTAGGGAGACCACTGCATAGACGGTGTAGAGGCCGGACCACTGCACTGTATTTCTGAAGCTGATGTTGAATAATATTGTATGTCAAGTACAATTATATATACATATAGTCACGAGATGTGGAGTAGAATGTGGGAATGGAGTCATTGGAATTGTAAAGATAAGTATGGTATCGGGGGTGGGAGGGCAGCAGATTGGGGAGGGAGGTTGTTTCTGTATGAGGAGTGAAAAGAATACCTATTGCATTGTTCTGTACACCTGAAACTAATAAAGAAAAAGCAAACAAAATAAATTCAAGACAGCTAACCAATAAATACAGGAATAGAAAGTTACATAAACTGTAGTACTAAGATAGGATATCACAGCAAATTGAAACAATTGATATTAATAGTGATATTAATAACAATTGATAATAATCCTAAAATATCAAGATTTAAATATAGTCTTTAGGAAAGTTGAAAAATGTAGCAGTCCTTTCCCACACACCTTAGCAGGAAGACAGTATCTACTGTTTGGAAAAAAAAATGAAGTTTCAATATTTATATCATGCTCATTACAATATGAAGAATTTCAAAAATAGACAAAATTCTTATGATAAACTGACATTTTCCTCAAAAGAGTCCACAATGATCAAGCTTTTGCCATATTTGCTTCAGTCCTTCCTTTTTCTTTTTTCTGAAGTGCTTAAAAGTAAATTAAAAGAAGGCATACAGATGACTAACAGACATATGAGAAGATGCTCAACATCACTAATCATCAGAAAACTGCAAATCAAAATTATGAGATATCACCTCACACCTGTTAGAATGGGTATTATCAAAAAAACAAGAAAAGAATTAAGTGCTGGCAAGGATGTAGAGAAAAGGGTATTCTGTGAACTGCCGGTAGGAATATAAATTGGTGCAGCCACTATGGAAAACAGTATGAAGGTTCCTCCAAAAATTAAAAATAAAACTACCAGATGACACAGTAATTCCACTTCTGGATATTTATCACAAAGAAAAACACTAACTCAAAAAGATATATGCAACCCCATGTTCATTGCTGCATTATCTACAATAGCCAACACATGGAAACAATCTTAGTGCCCAACAATGGAAGAATGGGTAAACAAAATGTGATATATGTATACAATGGTATATTATTCAACCATAAAAAAAGGAAAACTTGTAATTTGTGACAACATGGATGGATCTTAGAGGCATTATGCTAAGTGAAATAAGTCAGATAGAGAAAGACAACTACCATATCATCTCACTTATGTATGAAATCTAAAAAGGAAACAAAAAACCCTCAAACACGTAGATACAGATAACAGATTGATGTTACCAGAGGCAGGGTGTGGAGGGTGGATGAAATGGATGAAGGTGGTCAAAAGGCACAAACTTTAAGTTATAAAATAAATAAGATATGGGGATGCAATGTACAGCATGGTGAGTATAGTTAACAATACTATATTGTAATTTTGAAAATTGCTAAGAGGGTAAATCTTAAAAGTTCTCTCATCACAAGAAAAAAAATATTATTATGTATCATGATGGATGTTAACTAGACTTATGGTATTGATCATTTTGCAATATATACAAATATCAAATAATTATGTTGTACATCTGAAACTAATATAATGTTGTATGTCAATTATATAGCAATTAAGAGTATAGATATCAAGTCAGTTTTATCTACATGCTTCAGTATACATTTTTAAAAATGAGAACACTGTTTTACATAGCCACAATGCCATTATCAGTATTTATATCTTAAGAAGTCACCATAAAGTCAATGTCTCAACATCCAGACTCTGCTCAAATCAGGGGATACGGTTATTTGTTATAATCTTCATACCTTTGCTTGTATTGAACAATGTCATTCTTGGTGTGATTTATTAACAGGAACGTAGCTGCTCCATCATGATAATCTGAAAATGTAATAACTGTAGAATGCTCAGCCAAGTTAACTTCTGCTATAATACCTCCAAGCTAAAACAAAAGAAAAAGAATATATATTCTCTAATGTGCTCATTTTCCAAAGAATATTAACTAATGACATTTAATAAAATTATTTATAACATAATATTTTTTGATGATTTAGAAAGCAACTCAGGATTTTATACTGCATGTCTGAGAAACCATGTTGTCAATTATAGTATACAGATGGGTCAAATTCCAGATGTGGTATAGAGCAGGCACTCCAACTAACTTTATATAACAAATCGTTTTATGTCTGTTTCCTTTTAGTACTTTACAAAAAGAAATGTTTCTCTTTGTGGTGAAAGGAAAAAAAATAGCATGAGATAATTATTTGATACGAAAAAGTAAAATAAAATACTAATAAGTAATATTAGCCTCCGTGAACACACAAAAAATTACTTACCTCATCATCCAGACGCAATAATATACAATTTTCTTGCTTATTAAAATGTATCTTTTTGGGAGGCCCTTTATTTCCTTCAACTTGAATAAGAAGTTTATTTGAAGCATCCTCAGGCCAAAAGGGGATACACTAAAACATATATTACACACATTTATTAAAAAAACAACAGACTTATCATAAAGACCTTTCTCATTTTAATAAACCCACCAGAGTAGATTGAAAATAAACTTAAATCTATTTCAACCCTGCTCTGGTTACTGGGTTGCTTAGCTAAACATATAGAAACTGTCAACTTAGAGAGGTTTTAATGTGGTCCAGATATAGAAAAGGGTTGAAAAATCAGCAACTAAGCTGAGCCCAGAGCTGGGAAGCAAGTGATAAGCTTAAAACAAGGATACATTCAGTTACTGAAAATCATAATCAGGTTGTGGGCATCATCTGGTAATTAAATCCAGTCATGGAAGTCAAATAAGGGTAAAAAAGTAAAAGAATTATCCAAAATTCAGAGTAAGACATAGGCTCAAAATGTTAAGAAACAAACTGGACATCAGTGATCTGGAAACCAAACTAAAAAAATAGGAGACTGTCAATGTACCCAGAAAAAAGACTGGACAACAGGAGCTAGAAAAAAAGAAAAGAGCTAAAAGAACAGGAATGGAGAAGCAACCTTGTCTGTAAGCTATTATGTAACCCTTGTCTTAGTGTGATAGGCCCCGACCAGACTGGCGACTTTGCATATTTCAGTGAGACTGTTCATGTGTGATACCTATCACCATTTGACCCTATAGTCAAGTACCTTACTTGTTAAAGTCAATTTTATTCAACCATAAAAGGTAGTCAATAGAACTAGACATGGGACATGGTTAAGGCTGTAAGAGGCTTAGAAGGTTCCCACACTTGCAATCTAGCAGGAACGTACCTGGAAGAGTCAATACAGCAGCAATGCTAATCCAAGTATATTTCCCATGAGAAACTGAGAAGACTAAAAATGATGTGCTCTATGAATATCCCTAAGCCTGCTATTTGTTAGTAGCCTTGCCTTTAAAATGTATGTTTTTATGTTTAATAATATACCATTTATCTTTTTCAAGGATATGTGCTTCCCCTCTTGAGACTACAGAAGTACGAAAGTACTTGTCTTTGTAGAGGAAAAATAGAGACATAGATAATTGTAACAAATCTACGTAGGTAATAATCATGAGTAGGCATCTTAATGTTGGCCACTATAAGTGAAAATTAAAATGTAAAAATGCAAACTAGCAAAAGTTATCTTAGGAAAAGCTGAAATTGAAAATAAAAGAAACAGAGGAAGTAAAATAAAAAATAAGTTGTTATGCAGTTGTAATTACAATGAATATAAATATAAACTAACTGCTGAAAGACAGAGGCTCTAGATTAGGCTTTTAAAAAGATAAGACCCAACAATGTTATCAGCAATTGATACATAAGCCAAGATATACAACTGTTGTAAATAAAAGTATGGAAAAAGATATACCTAGAAAATACATAAAGCAAAGCAAAGCCAGAGTTGTAATCTTTATATTTAGATATATAGAGAGCTCTACATCTAACAAACCAAGAACCCATAGACTAAATGCGCACACATGGAAGGAACATTTATGAAACTAAATCATATATTCATTCAGTAATATTTATTGAGATCTTACTATGTTTAATCACTATTCAAAACCTTCCTACAGTTTTCCATTTCATTCAGAGCAAAAGCTAAAATCCTTGCAATGGCTCAGAATGTTTTGCATGATTACCCTTCATCGCCGTTACACCTTGTTCTCCACTCCTTTTCCCTCTTTTAGCAATACTGGCCTCTTTTGCTATCCCTCAAACACGCCAAATACTCTCCCACTTTACAGTACCTACCTGGCTGATCCCTCGGTCTCTAAGTATATTTCCATAGAGCTGAGTCCAGTTCCTGTCTCAAAAGCTATGTGTAATTTTTCAGGTCAGACGAAGCAATTTTATCTGGCAGGCCTCACAGGGAAAAGCTGTCCTCCCCACCCCAGGCTGGGTGCACAGCCAGCACACTGCTGCCTCAAGGACTAGGCCCCCACCTCCAGTCATGCTTTTACACTATCAGTATTCCTACCTCAGGCACCTGCATTCAGAGGCCTCCTTACCAGGGCCCTTGGCAGAGGCTTTCCTCAGGAACCTCTGCAAAACCTCTTTATCAAGGAGAGAGGGGGGAAATCTTGAATGTATTTATTCTCGATTCTGACTCAGCGCTCAGTACTATTCCACTCCTTGCCCTTCCCCTTTATTCTGCCCCACCCCCCAGGTCCGTAAAATTGTAAGAGCCTTTTGTTCAGGGCTCCCAACAGTGACACAACCCCCATGTCTGCTGATCCACCTGACCCCTAATCAATGTTGTTCCATAGGAAAAATGGAACGGGGGAATAGGCGCTTTTTCCAGTTTAGCTTCTTATACTATGGCAGCAAGTGATTAAAGGCTTTATTGTTACATTTTGGCTTGTTGTCTTCAGCTACTCCAACATCTGGCAGCTCAGCTCCAGCTCAGCTGAGCTCTTCACAAATGCTACCTCTCACATTTCCTCCAACTTTGTTCTAATAAAACCTCAGTGAGTCCTATCCTTGAGCACCTTATATGAAATTATAGCCCACTCTTCGCTTGTTAGAACTCTTAATATCTCTTTGCCTGTTTTATTTCCTTTTCCTCCATTAGACTTGTCACCTTTAAACACTATATATTTTACTAACTGATTATGGTATTATTAATTTAATGTTTCTTCTCCATTCCACTCAAATATAAACTACATGGAAACAGGGACTTGTGGTTTTGTTAACAGATGTATTGCAAGGCACATAAGAAGTACACAATAAATATTTGCTAAAAAAAATGAATTAACAGGCAGACTTGAAAAAAGGGGAGCTTCTGGAAATAAATATAATTACACAAATAAACTCAGTTGAGGCTAAATAGTTTAGACATGGTAAAAATAAAAATTTATTGAAGATATATGTATAGACTTTATGCAAAATGCAGAATTATAAAGATGGAAAATGTAAAATAGATATTAGGAGACATGGAAGATAGAATATAAAGGTCTAGAATATGTCTGATTGAAGGCCCACAGGGAGAAAATGGAAGACCGGAAAGGGAGTATTTAAAGAGATAAGAGCTGCAAATTTTACAGAAAGTGTGAATATATTAATCTACAGATCTAGGGGTAAGGCATCTCAAGCAGGTTATATAAAAGGAACCCACATGTAAATAAATGGTATGACTATAGAACATCAAGGAAAAAGAGAAGGCTGGGAAGGCAGCTAAGGGGAAAAGAAAGAATGCCTCCAAAGAAATGACAGAATCACTGCAGAATTTTCAACAAAAAATGGAAGCCAGGAAACAGTGGAGTAAAACCTATAATGTGTTGAGAAAAAACAAATTTATTATCAAGAAAAATTATCATAAAAGATGACCATAAAAACTTTGGTGGATAAACACAGACTGATAGTATTTTCCTCCAAAACCAGATCTAAAGGAAATTCTAAAGGATGTCTGTCCATCAAGAAAAAAGATCCCAGAAGGATGGCTTTAAAAGCAAGAAGGAATAATGAATAAAAATAGCAAATGCTCTCTTATAATCCTAACATATTTAGAATAAAATTTCTTCCAAAGTGAAATATTCTATCAACCTTAGGCAGTCTTTCAAAAAGCTCTTATCCAGAAGTCTAATAGCTAAAGATGGAGTAGAATAAACATTTGACTCGTAAGTCACTACTGCCTACTTAAAATAACTGGCTTAATCTACACTATTAAGGCATTCCTGACAGTTTCCCTGAGAGAATAAATAATTTCCTTCTCTTCCCTGCATTTATACCTTATCTGGTGTTCTACTGTTATATTTGACTCCATTTGGTTAGTAATTGTTAGATATCTACCTCCCATATTAAGCAATGTATTCCTAGATGGCAAGGTTCGGTCCTTAATAATTAAAATATCTAGAGCTTGGTACAAATAATCAATGAATGATGATGGAATTGAAACAAAATGCGGGGGTGGGAGTGGACAGTTAAAACTTTAGTGATTTCAGTTATCTAACTTCAAAGAAAATGAAAATCCAAAGAAGTACATTATTGAAATTTATCTACGCACCTGCTCCAAATCAAGAGAGAGCCATTTATCATTCTTCTCTTCAGCCACTGATATATGATACTTGCTTTTGTTTTCAATCATATAAAAAGGGGTAAACGTTACAATTCTGGTAATGTTAAAACTGCTGAGGTCTATAGTGACACCAACCTAAGGAAAAATATATTAACATATCAAAAGTTTACATCATAATAGCCTTATAAAAATTCAGTAGTCAACGAACAGTTTTGGGGTTTTTTTAGTGTGTGTTTTTTTTTTAATTGGGGAATTGGGGAAGGGGAACAGACAAGTTGCTGTCCTTTTGTTCTTCAGTCTAGTTGTGGAGGATGTCACTTCACTGGCTCACGTTGGTATTATTATTGCATTCTTCCTGGGTGAGGCAGTCGCTCGCCGGACATTGGACGGCCGCTTACAGCAGCTCATGCTCGCTGCCAGCCAGCCACACTGCATCCTACGCCGTCGCCAGCGACTCACGGCAGCTCAGCTCCAGGTTGAGCTGTTTTTCACCATCTTAGCTGTACAGGGTGCAGTGTCACTGGCCCTCATGTGGGATCCGAACCCCAGCCCTGCTGCTCAGAGCTGGCGTCCCAAGCCAACTCTTAACCAATGCGCCACTTGGCCGGCCCTCTTTTTTTTTTTTTATTAAAGTTTATTGGGGTGACAAGTGTTAGTAAAGTTACATCGGTTTCAGGTGTACAATTCTATAATACATCATTTATTAATATATATCACACTTTGTGTTCACCACCCAGTCAGTTCTCCTTCCATCACCACATATTTGATCTCTTTTACTCTCATCTACCACCCTGCTCCCCCCTTACCCTCTGGTAAGCACTAAACTATTGTCTGTGTCTATGACAAGTGAAATAAATCAGACAGAAAAAGTAGAGAACCATATGAGTTCACTGATATGTGTGGCATATAAAACTGAAAACAAAGGAACAAGACAAGTAATAAACACAGTTTAAATAAGTTTTGTGACAAGCACAGAAAGAACTCACTTGATATTCCATTTTCAGGCCTTTACATTTAACAGCTCCATGACTACCAACAGTATCAATTGAAAATTCATCTGACAATTCACTGTCAGTTACCATAAGTTGAACCTAGGAAAAAAATATTTCAAACATACTACAATTAGGTACTTTTAGAAATTCCTACCTAATCTGATCAATTTTTTGCTTTTTGGCATAATTAATATTATATTGTTAATGCACCAAGCCTTTCCCAATACTAAATTCTAATCTTTTTAACTTCAAATATTTAACAAATGTTATTTTTATGTTTCATAATATGTTATTCTTCAAAATTCTAAAATCTAAAAAGGAGTGAGGAATAGCTTTAAAAGAATGAAAGTTAAAAAACTACATACCTTATTGTTATTAAAAAAGTGCTTTGGCTGAAAAGAAAACAGAACTGGCTTTTTATAATCAGGTGGATGCTTTCGATGAATTCCATCTGCTTTATACTGTAACATTCGACCAGTTTTATTGACCATCCAATAAGGGCTATGAAATGCCATAACTGTTTGGCCAGGATTATAAGTCATATGGATAGCAATATCTAAATCAATCTTTTCTATTTCTGTAACACAGGTAAAATTGATGAAACTAATATCTTGTTGATTAGGTTTTAGGTGAAATTCACTTTTCCAATCATGATTAAGATAGTCAAGTAATTTTAAATGTAGCTTGGCTTTTTCCAATTGCACAGTATAAATCTGGGCTGAATGTCCTTCATTTAGAGTAAAAACTCTATGTTCAATCCCCTGTAATAAAAAAATATAGTAAATTTTTTAATATTTCAGAATATGCCAAAAAATCATATTTAATGATTTCAAACGCTATACAAAATGCTTTTGCATTATACCTCTGCTAAAATGAGTTAGAAGACTTATATTCAAGTTCCAACTCTGTCATCTATGCAAACTTTTATAAATTGAGATCTGAGTTATTGTATTTGTAAAATGGTCTAAATGATTGACTTCAAAGGACAAGTGTGAGGATAAAACTAGTTTAACAATGTGAAACTCTGCTGGAACTAATAAATGTTATGAAACACTACAATTAGTAAAATACTTTTTAAAACCTTATCAATTAGTGATTTTAGTTTTGAAAAATATATGAAAATTGATGGGGATCCAAATAAGCATTCCCTAACTCCCATTCTATATTTTTAACAATCCCTCGTCACCCATTTGTATCACTGTTTATAGTACTGCATCCTATGTATCTTTCAAAATGTTCATTTTTCTCCACCCACATTTCCTTTATTTTGGTTCATATCACTGTGACCACTCACTTTAAGAGTCTCCTAATTGTTCTCTATACTACAGCTAAACTGTCTTCCTAAAAATTGATCATGCCTTTGGAATGTAATCCCAATAACTAATAACTAATAGGCTACCATAAAAATAATAAGACAATGAAGAACTCTTTCTTTTGATAAGCATGGCAAATGGAATATTAAAAGCTTAAGATGGAGAGATTCCTGTTATAACAGGAGGGAATCAGATATAATTTGTTTTAAAACAAAGAGTATTTAAAAGAAAATCATCTTTATAGGACATATAATCCTTTCCGAGAACTAGCATGAGGGTAATATAATGTAGCAGGGTTTTTTCCCACTTAAGTTTAAGTCAAGTACTTGAATATTATTTTTATACTAATTCTTATACTAGTTTCAAAAGTTGGTACCCATCTTTTTAATATATGATACATGAAATACACATGCATGAAAAAGACCGAAAAATGTATATTCTAAAACTGAAACATTTTCATCTGAAGTGTTACCTTCAGATGATGTAATTATAGACAACTTTTATTATCTCTATTTTCTAAATTTTCTAAAGGGAATATATATTACTTTCATAAATTATTCTTAAAATGATATTTCACATTTGTGTGTGTAATTTATATTCAACTTAGTAACCAGATTTATAAGGTACATCAGTGGAAAATATTTTTTTAAATCCTCTTTTTATACATGATTAAAACATTTCTTTTCCATTTGAAGTATTACCTATCACCAGTACTGTACTTTTTTTATTAGAACTGTTATTAGAACTGTTGTTTTATTGTTCATAATTTTAAATAACTAAAGCAATAAAACCAAAGACATAAAGCCATTTAAAAAATTCCAGAATACCTCTATATAATAAGCGATTTTGTAAGGAAGAAGATTTCGGAGTAGGATAGGTGGCCACAAATGCATTATGTATGGTAAGTCCCAACCATCTTCTGAATATACTGACAGAGATGTCAAATTATCTTTTTCTGGGACAACATTAATGATAAAGGGTTTCTTGGACGGCTTTATAGGTCTACATTTCTTCTTTATAAAAGTGCCGTCATTTTTTATAATTTCTTCAAAGTCAATTCCTTCACACATTTGATAGTCCTCATCTTCTGGCTTCAGAGAAAGGAGTGATCTGCACAAAAAATTAAACAATGAGCTTTAAAATGCTTTAAAAGAAAACACTGAATTATACGGTTACAGCTTTAAAACAATGAAATTACCTTCCTCCATACTACTGTAATACATTTTTATATTTTCAAATTCTTCTTAGAGATAGGTATGATGGACAGATATTTTCATCTTAACATTCTGGAGACTAATCAAGTTATTTGGCTTTTAAGAGAATAGTTTTCGGGGCCGGCCGAGTGGCGCGTTGGTTAAGAGCTGGCTTGGGATGCCAGAGGGCCGCGGTTCGGTTCCCACATATGAGGGTCAGTGACACTGCCCTCTACAGCTAAGATGCTGAACAACAGCTCAACCTGGAGCTGGGCTGCCATGAGTTGCAGGCACGGCGTAGGCCGCAGCCCCTGCTGCAGTGGGTTGTCATGGGCTACTGTGTGTAGCCAGCAGCTAGCGTGAGTGGCCAGCTGCCGCTGTGAGCGGCTGTCCAGAAGCCAGCAACTGATCTGCCTCGCACGGGAAGAGTGCAATGATGGTGCCAACTTGGGCCAGTGAAGCAACGTCCTCCACAACTAGACTGAAGAACAAAAGGATAGCTACTTGTCTGTTCCCCTTCCCCCAACTCCCCAATAAAAATCTTTAAAAAAAAAAAAAAGAGAATAGTTTTCGTACAAACTTACTATCATAAATGTACATTTGCAATTTACTATGTATGGTGTCATATGGGTACTAGATTTATCGGGATGGTCACTTCATAAAGTATATAAATATCTAATCACTAAGTTGCACACCTGAAACTAATATAATAGTGTATGTATAAAAAATAAATTGAAAAAAGTGTGTTTACAAGATAATAACTGGTTTCTTACATAAAATACATAATCATATAGGTCATATAAGCAAAGCAAATAATATACTATTTTCTGTGAATTGTACATTTAAGTTAAAGAAGTTGGCTTTCCTGGATATGTGATCGTAATAAGAAGAATATGTCACGAATGAGTTCATTAACTTAATAGTTCTATTGAAAAAATTAATCACCAGCATTCCAAGATTAATGAAATGAAAGCTATCAATAGAAACATAACTTTATTGAAACGTTGGGCATAGTTGCAGAAGTGGTTGCAAGAAGATAGTGTCAAAATCACTGGGTGTCACATATAATTACTCCATATATTTAAACATCATGTTCTTTGTTTACATTTCAACTAGATTTAGGTTTAATAATTTTTAAACCTAAGCTGTGAACAAGTATAAACACTTAAGAAATATTTTTATACTTGTAAAACTAGTCAATGATTGTGACACTATCCCTTTCAGATGAACAACTGTCCATCCCTGGTTATTTCCCTAAGCTCTAGTCCTAAAATTGTAAATATCTACTACATAATTCTGTAATGATGTCTGATGGTGCCTGAAATTTGCTATATTGAACTCTGAACCTTCCATAGCTACTTCTTTGTGTGTCCTTTTTCAGGAACTTCCAGCTACTGGCGCTATGGATTATGAAATAACATTAGGAGTTTTCCTTCTCCCTTGACATATGGATAAATATAATGATCTGTCAAATCAGTTATAAGACTTAGTCCATTCTACTTCTACTTTCTCTAATTTTCATTCTTCTAATACTTAAAAATAAAAACTTAATTTTCTCTAAATTAAACTAATGCCAATACACTCATCCAGATCATCAAAATATTTATTGGATCCATTATTTACTAAAGGCCAAACTGAAAAGGAACAAGTAAGGAAGTCATTCTTGAGTCTTAAAGAGATCTCAATTAGGTAGGAAACAGAATGTTAAAAGTTAAAAGATAACTACTGCACTCTGATAGGTACCAAAAAACAGATGTATACAAAAGACAGAGGGCATAAGAGTATGGTTAACTCTTTGGCTGCACAGTGTTTTGCAGAAGTGACAATTTTCCCAACAAACTTTCTTCTAAAGTAAAGACTTGAATTACAGAAATATTCAAGGTTAAAGGAAAGTTTAAGAAACTAATGAGAAAACAAGAGAGAAATATGATCAATAATGGCAAGAGGTTCTGGATGAGAAGAGCTGATAGAATGAATGGTCTTGAAAAAGAAGAACACCAAATGTTCTGAGAGAGAAAGGAAAAAACAGGTGATATTAAAGATGAAGATAAAATTTATATAAATGGGGAGCAAGAAACTGAGGGAGTAACAACCTCAATGTGAACCTACACTATCTTTCAAATTTGACCTTCCATTTGGACACTACATACATTCTAATCAAACCCCAACTGTTCTTTACAGACCTATACAAAACCTGTGCTTTCATGCCTCCTTATCTTTGTTCATGCAATTGCTTGCACTTAAGATTGCCCTTCCCTGCTAATTTCCACATTACTATATTTCTCCTATAATTCGTGTACTTTGCCCAGGAGTCAATCATTAACCCCTTCTTTGTTTTCCATAGCTTTTTGCAACTATAGCTCTCTCTGTAACTCTACAACCTATCGTTTTCTGTGTTCTGTATTTACATAATATATCAATCTCCCATGGGATATAGCATTACCAATTCATCCTGGTACCCTACAGTAGTGCCTTACACACAACAAAAACATGTGATAAACATTTGTTAAGGAAAGTAAATTTAAGAATCAGTAAATTCTACAGGTAAAGATAGCTATTTGTTAATTTAAGACCTCATATCTTTAAAAAACATTTTTTTCTACCCCCATGCTCTTTGCTTACATTATGATAGCTAAGCACATACAAGTATACATGTATTATTGGTTCATAAATCATTTCATCATCACCAAAACAAAGGGCGGGACAGGATCTCAGCTAGTGAACACACCCATGTACACTCAAATTGCTCTTGAAGTGCGGGTGGCTGCCATGAATGCAGTGCAGACCTTCACAAAAGCGCAGTGTGAATGGACCCTCTGGAGGTGCACAGTGTAGCGGCCCTGAATGCTTCCAAGTGCCAGGATTTGAATCCCTGCTTGTGTAATTCTACAGTTTGTGATTTATTTTGGTTAAGATCACCTAATCAATCCCTCTTGTCCTATATACATGTGGTTAAAGGATAAATTTCAAAAAATGGGTAAAATCATGATTCCTACATAGATATAAAAAGAATAAGTGTTTAAAATTTTATTTAACTCTATTAAATAGAGGAAACTGGTAAGATGTTACAACTAATTCAATGACAGAATTCTAAAAACCGACACATTTAGAGATCAGGAATGCTCAAATGAATGTGCAAATAAAAGCAGAGCTGGCCTTTTCCACAGCAGACAGGAGTCAACTGAACCTCCCAGGATGGAAAGTATACCTACATCTAAAAATTGCATTAGAAGAGTATCGAATGTGAAAAACAAGCTGGTTAGTCACAAATAATTCTAATAAAGATTAGCTTCCATGTAGCAAATTAATATTTAGCCTTGAGCACAAAATGTATAAATACTCTAATGGCCTAACTGTTCTATGAACAGAGTCACAAAACATATAGCAGTAATTTATTAAAACAAAGCAGAATGCCCCTAACATTTATGATCCAAATACAAAATGAATTTAAAGCTGTTCACAGAAAATTTTAAAACATACCTTACATGTTATCTTTAGTTTTATAACCCACCCCAAATCCTCTCAAGAACCAGGTCAGGTACTGTAAACAATGATTTTGTTGTTATCTCAATAGAATTCTTTCCCTCAGCAAGTCTAAACTAAGCAATAATGTACTCACTAGGATTAGAGGTCTAAACAATAAGACCTTCATTAGGGGGAGCAGGCCTAATTAATACCTGAAGGTATATGCCTAAATTTGCTAGATTGTCTTCTAAAGACTAAGGATCCAACCTTGAACTCCCAGGCATGGGTCACTACGAATATAGGTAGGGGATATGTAAACACTGCTTGTAGTTTTGCCTCCATCCCTCTGCAGTCTAGGTCTAAGTGTCCATGTCTAGTGCGTGATCTGAGACCTTAGCCAAAGTACGGTACTTATTCTGAGGAAGGTTTTCTCTCTAATAGAGATCACTCTACTTTTCTCCTTGTTTCAAGTTTTCAACTCCAAATTAAAAATCCTGAAAAATAATACTTGTTTGTTATATTAAATCTATAATTATGAGACTAGCCCATCATTAGTATTGTGTTACAATTTTAATAATCCTTTCTTCATAAATGTAAGATTTTACACATCAAGTTTAATCAAATTACTTTAAATATTTAAGACTGATTAAAATTCTATCACTAAACAATGAACAGATTAATGTACAATAAAAGATAAAATATTGTTTTCCAAAAGGAATTTCAAAAAAATTCTATTATAAAACCTTTCAAAAGTAAAAATCATTTCATAATAGTGCTGATAAATCCAGAAGCAACCAATCATGCTCAATAAGACTTTTTAAAAACTAATCATGAATATATATGATTATGGTTATCATGGCCATAAGCAACCATGTAATAATTATATTTACTAGTAAAGCATTTACATGGTATGAATTAAATACATTAAATTAATATTTATTTAAATAAACCTCTCAGTGTCCTAAAACTTAAATAAATTAGAGGAGGTGAGATATTAACAGGATAGATTTAAGTTTGATAATTTACACATAGCTATCCCTATCAAATCAGAAACTAAAAATTCTCTAAAAGACCTTAGAGCAAACAAAGGATAAAGAAAAAAATCACCGGTAAGATGCTAGTGGTACGTTAAATTCATTTCCAGGCGAAGCTGTTCCCAATAAAGTATCCCCTTCATAAACAGAAAGTGGAATTGAAAAATGATTTCTAATCTGGAAAAGAAACAAAAACAAATAGTATTTAGTATCGTTAATCTAGGACTCTAAAGACATTAGAAAAGAAACAAACATGCAATTATTTATTCTAAAAAATACAAGAAAAATTTACAGTTTTATAGAATAGGACCTCAAAAACAAAACTTTAAAAATCCTAGAAGAAAATAAGATAATATATTTCTGACCTTGAGATAAGTAGTAACTTCTTCTTTAGAAAAGAATAAAAAAAAATTCATGGGAAAAAGTATTACATAAAATGTTAAATGTCTATATGACAAAGTGAAAAACAAGCCACAGGTTGGGAAATGCCTCCCTACCTTTTTACATCACTATTGTATGCTACTCATTGGATGAGATACTGTGAACGGAGGGTATCTCATCCAATGAGTAGCATACAACAGGGATAGAAAAGGTAACATAATTTTGATTATTACATATTATCAGATAAACCTCCAAACACATTTAACATTGGATGAATAAAAACAGAGCAGTTAGTAAAACCATTTTCTTATCTTTCTATATCTTACTAAAATCTTCCTATTTAAAAAAAAAATCATACGAAATATAAAAACATGCTAAGAACTAAGAATTAATAACTGGACGGTCTTAAATTCACTATATTTTATTTATAGATATACTGTTGGCTCTACCTATTTGAAGCAATAGAAATACATTTTAATTTCTATAACTAATACCTATGAGAAATTTAAAATTAATGTTTAAGTAATGAAATTTTTAAAATCAACAATGAGGACTGCCCAACAGTCATCTTTTAAAACAGTTAATCATAAATCATAAATGAAAGAAAAGGAATTTCTGCTTTCAGCCATGATGGAATAATAGGGACCAGATATACCTTCCCAGCCTAAACAACTAAAACACATGGGGAGAAAAAATATACATTAAACAATTATTTGCAGACACTGGGTAACAGGCAGCTCAGGAAAGAAAAATAATCCATTAAATTGCTCCAGCTCGCTGCCTGGAGTTTCTAGACCAGCGGTTCTCAACCTTTCACAGGGGTCGCCTAAGACCATCGGAAAACACATATTTTCGATGGTCTTAGGAACAGAGACACTGCTCCTCTATCCGTCTCCAGGCCCACATGCAGATATGCCCAAATACGAGTACCCGGCGACCCCTGTGAAAGGGTCGTTCGACCCCCAAAGGGGTCGCGACCCACAGGTTGAGAACCGCTGTTCTAGACTGTATGGGGAAGCAGAAGGCAAACAGAGCCCAGTCTGCCTCAGGTGAAGAGAGATATGAGAATTTAGGGAAGTCCATGTGGCTTAAACTCACAGCATGTTTTATGAGAGAGGAGAGAGCTACATGGAGAGGTGAGAGTTGCAGAGAATTCCTGATATTTAAGAGTGTCCCTTATTCCCAACACTTGAGTTCAGTACTGAGCAGCACATGCACATGAGTAAACTATTTAAGACTTGGTAAAGATAAACAGAACAATCTCTGGAGCTGACACATAGTTCCTTTTCTCATCAGCCAAAGTGGTAAAACCTTGTTTAGTACAGAAGGTATTGGTTGCCATGCCTTACTAGTAGGGCAAAATTAGATCTGGAATGACTGAGTCCCAACAAAAAAGTTTAAAAATAAGAACGAAAAGGATCACTTGCCAAACGACATAACTGTATTGGAGAATAAAGGTAAAAAAATACATAAAGGTGGGGCACTGGGTGGCTCAGTTGGTGGCTCAGTTGTTTACAGAGTGTGCTCTGAACAACGAAGTTGCCGGTTCGATCCCTTCATGGGATGGTGGGCTGCACCATCCACAACTAGATTGAAAACAGTGACTGGACTTAGAGCTGAGCTGTGCCCTCTACAACTATTGGGTTGTTGGAAAAGTCATGACACATTTTTGCAACAAAAAACACAGAAAAAATATATCATGACTTTTCCAACAACCCAATAGATTGAAATAACAACTTGACTTGGGATTTGATGGGTCCTGGAAAAACACACTGTTCCCTAGTAAAATCACACACACACAAAAAAAGAATAAAGGAATACAAAGATATATAAAGCATCTAAAAGGTAGAATTCACTATTTTAGGAATCCAATAAAAAATTACAAGGCACAAAAAAAGAATTTAAAAATGACCCATAATAAAATAAAAATGACTAAAATGAAACAAATCAGAAATAAGTACACATGATAGAATTAGTAGACAAGGACATTAAAACATTTATATAACTATATTCAATATGTTCAGAAATTAAGAGGAAATACTGAGGATGTTAATAAAAGACATGGAAAATATAAATAAAATTGCACATTGAACATCTAAAGATAAAAACACATTGGATAGAATTTAAGAGCAGATTGGACATTAAAAAAAAAAGCAAACTTAAAAAGACATGACAACAGGGCCGGCCGAGTGGCGCAATGGTTAAGAACTGGCTTGGGACGCCAGAGGGCCCCGGTTCGGATCCCACATATGAGGGCCAGTGACACTGCCCTCCACAGCTAAGATGCTGAACAACAGCTCAACCTGGAGCTGGGCTGCCATGAGTCACCGGCGACCACTAGGCTGCAGCCCCTGTGGCAGTGGGTTGCCATGGACTACCGTATGTAGCCAGCAGCCGCAGCGAGCGGCCATCCAGAAGCTGGCGACTGATGTGCCTCGCCCGGGAAGAGCGCAATGATGGTGCCAACTTGGGCCAGTGAAGCAACATCCTCCACAACTAGACTGAAGAACATAACGACAGCAACTTGTCTGTTTCCCTTCCCCCAATTCCTCAGCGCTGTTCCCATCCCCCCAATTCCCCAATAAAAATCTTTAAAAAAAAAAAAGACATGACAACAGAAACTATCAAAACAAAAATACAAGGGGGAAAAAACTGAAAGAAAAAATGAACAGATCATTAGTGAGCTGTGAGGGCAAGTAAAACACTCTCATATATACATAACAGTAGTCCCCGAAGAAGAGAAAACAGGGAGAAGACAGAAAAAAAAATTTTTTAAGAAAAAAACAGCAAAAAACTTTCTAAAGTTGATGAAAACTATAAATCCACAGACTCAAGGAGCTTAATAAACCCAAGTACATGAAACATGAAGAAACTACATTTAAGATTCACCACAACCAAATTGCTTAAAATCAGTGATAAAGGGGAAAGAAATCTTAAAAGCATAGAGAGAAAATACCAACATTTTCATAAAAAAGCAAAGATAAGAAAAGCAGACTCGGGTCAGAAACAGTGGAACAACATCTTAAAAATATGGAAAAAATAACCTATCAATCTACATTTCTATACCCATTAAAAATAACTTGAAACATAAAAGTGAAATAAAAATGGAAATAATTCATGGACAAATTTCATGGAAGATACAAAATAGCTACAAGAGGTCACTTAAGAAATAACAGATAACCTGAATAGCCCTTACCCATTAAATAAAGTGAAACTGTAGTAAAAACCTTCACATAAAGAAAACATTACAAGAAAACTCTAGACCAGCATCCCTCATGAACATAGTGCAAAAATTCTGAACATGATTTTAACAACTCATTCCAAAAATGCATTTAAAGGTTAATAATACTTCATGACAAAGTGAGGTTGTTCTGGTAATGCAAGGTTAATTTAACATTAAAAAATCAAATATTATTTAATATAACAATTAAAAATCGATCAATGTAATTTACCATATTAACAATATTTTTTAAAAGATCCTCTCAATAGACACAAAAAATCATTTGACAAAATCCAACATCCAGTTAATAAAAGAAAAAAAAAATCCAACATCCATTCCTGATTGAAAATTCTCAGCAAAGTAGGAACAGAAGGGAGCATTTTCAACCTGAAAAAGGGCATCTACAAAAATACAACTCAAAACATACTTAATGGTAAAAAAGTGACTATTTTCCTTCAAAGATTGAGAGCTGGGCAAAAACATCTGCTTTTATGATTCCTATCCAAATTCTACTGGAGTTTGTAGCCAGTGCAACAGGCAAGACAAAAATAATACAAATCCAGATTGGAAAGGAAAAAGTAAAAATGTCTTTACAGACATTGTAACTATACCTATAAGAAGCTACTAGACATAAAAAGTGCATGTAGTAAGGTAGCACAATACAAGTTAACATAAAAATCAACTGTACTTCCACTAGAAATGAAAAATCAGAAGTTAATATGTAAAAATGCCAATTTTATCCAAATTTTTGAACAAAAATTGAAAACCCCAGTCTAAAATTTAAACAGAAATGGGAAGGATTGAAAATAGCCCAAAAAACTTCCAAACAGAACAAAGTGGAACAACTTATACTACCTGATTTCAAAACTCAGGATAAAGTCTAATTAAGACAGTGTGGCACTGGCATGAAGATAAACAGTTCAATAAAGAGAATTCAGTTCAGAAATAAATCCACACAGATATGGTCAATTTATTTTTGACAAAAGTGTCAAGGCAATTTAATGGAAAAAGGATAAATTTGGTTGGAACACCTGATTAGCCATCTGGGAAAAAAAATAATGAACCTCAACCATTATCTCACAGCATTTGTCTATCTCATAGACAAAGATTCATTCAAAATGGTTATGTGGTATATCCATATAACACATTAATATTTAATAACAAGACATTACTGCATGTAACAAAACAAATACACAAAAGTTGATACACACAAAACTATTCCAATTGAAAGAAGACTCCATTTTGTACTCTCTTTTATTTATATAAAATTCTGTATGTGCGATTAACATACAATGAGAACATTATCAGTGGATACCCAGAAATGGGGAAGTTAAGGAGAGAGGAAACTTTTGGAGGAGATAAATATGTTCATAACCTTGACTGTGATGAAGATTTCATAGGTGAATTTTTATGTCAAAACTCATCAACTTTAAATATATACACATTATTGTACATCAATTTTACCTCAATAAAGCTATGAAAATTTTCTCTCACCGTATTCTCTAATACCAAAGGATAGATACACATACTACAAAGACCTAAAACAAAATATTGATGAGTTGGTTTTTTTGTTTGTTTGTTTGTTTACAAAATAATACTCCAAAATGATTTTACAAAATAGTCCTATAAAAAACTATGAGAAGTATATTTAACAAAATCCTATCACTGTTCATATTAGAGCAGTACAATTACTGCTAATGATTCTTCTTTTTGATATTAGCTGTATTTCTACCATAATTTGTATTCTTTTGGTAGTAATTTGCTTTAGTTTAGTTTTGCTTTTTTTTATTAGCCCGCAAATATGCATGTGACCCCACATTTCCTACCTGCACTGGGGAGCGAACTGTTATCTTCTTACTTCCTTCTACTGTATCAATTTGACAAACAATAGATCTTTCAACTCCAGACTCTCTGTGTCTTACAGTGTACAGTCGTCGTCCCACTTTTGTTAAAGGAATTTTATCAGCAGTAGAGTGGTTAGCAGGTGCTAAATTGAACATGTTTGAAATTTTTATTATAAATTATCACATATTAAATAGATGTTAGATATCAGAAACATGATTTCTTCAAGTTATGAATAATAGTCACTCAAGTCTTTGGATTTAAGACTATACAAAGGGATTATACAAAGTGTATTTCTTTGTATAGATATAATGTATACAAAGGGATATTTTGAAACTACAATGCATTTCGCATTTCCACAGCATTCATCTAAAACCTTCAAACCTTTTTACCAAAAAACAATTTTAATTGGAAAAAAAAGGATTCAGTACTTGGACCTAAGGCAACAAACACTACTTATGAACAAAACAGTTTCATAAACCTTTTAAAAATAACTGAGAGGAATTATTAAATGGAAGAACAATGATCTCTAATTTGCTGTTATAATAACCAGAGCCTAATACCTACAGGCATTCATTGGCAATATCAAGGTAGCTACAATTTTTCGGTTTTTTATTTTTCCAACATGTGACACTGCAATATCTAGGATTTGATAAAATTTTATACACATTTATCTAATATGCATACATACTGAACTGGGGGTGGGGGTGGGGTGAGTTACTTATTTACATGAATCCCTCCACCTCATTCCATAAAAATGGTAGTTAAAACTAATGAGAACAATTCACTGACAATGCTGAAACAACACCTGAAACCTAGCCATTGCTAGCCATTGTATCATTTCCTGACAGACTAGGAGACAATACCAGCTATCAGTTTTGGTATTTTCACCCCATGTCTAATTAAACTTTCAAATGTCCTCTTCCTAACTATTTAAATGTTAAAATATCAGTAAGTGGTGTGGGTGAGGCTTCAGGGCTATTTTACTTCAAAATAAGTGGATAGTATGATAATTTAAGAATTTATTTACTTTCACCTCTCATGAAAATGAAAAATTTCTGGGAAGCAGAGAAAACAAAAAACTTTCACCTCAATAGACAGAACATAAAAACCATTTACTAACCAAAAAAATATTCCAAGGTGCCATTTCCATAAATTCAAACCTTATTTTGAATTCATTTAGCTGCACTGGTGGACTACTACTGAGTTATATGCCAAAGGTGGTTAAAACAACAACCAATAGATAATAGTTTGTAAAAGCTGAGTGAGGGTTAAATATAATGTTTTTCTTCCCCAAAACATAAAGCAGTAAATTGTCATGCTCTAAATAAAGCAATGAATAAAGAAAGTTAGGATTTGGCATACAAAAATATAGTGACAACAGCAACCAAAGCCCTTCAACGGAAGAAACAAAATTCCCAACCTATTAGGAAGAAGATTAAAAATTTTAAGATACCACAAATGAGTAAAGTGGGATGTAAAATATCACTTAAAAAAATTAAAGCCTAGTAAGGTAATTTATTACTTACTAAGAAGAATGAAGAAAAGTTTGCTGCTTAGGCTGGTCATTGCATTGAAATGATCATTGTCTTTAGTTCCAACATAATCCATATTTAGACTCTCCTCATTTTTCAATACATATGATTTTGCAATTGGAACGTTGAGTACACTAAAAGAATCACTTGGTGAAACAGAGATAGTAAGTCCAAGAGAATTTAAAATCATAAATGGTGCTAGATCCCTTATGAAGGCAGCTGAAGATCCAGTGGCAGCTTCTGTAAATGCCTAATGAGGAAGAGTTGTCATAAGTAAAAAAAAAAAAGAAATGTGTAAAACTAAATGGCAGGCAGAACACTAACAGGCATATGACAAATAACTAAATTACTAAAAAAAACAAACAACTTTATTCAGTAAAAGGATTAACTCAGACAAGCACAGCAACATTTAGTTTCAAATGTCTTTTCTTACCTTGGCTAAATTATTTAACATTACAAGACCACATTTGGATAATGTAATGTTTAGTTGGTCTTTTGAATAGAAACTGATAACAGTTTTGTATTCTGGCACTTTGTAATTTTCTTCTTCAATATCTGAATCAACAATGGCCTTTTTGGCTTTCTTTTTCATCTAAAAACGACATACAAATTATAGACATGTAAGGAAAATGTGTTACTAAGAGCACCACATGACTCATTTTGCAAAGGCAAAACAAATTTTAGACAAATCCTGGTAACAACATTAGAGAGAACAAAACAATTTATCAGTTCCACAGCCTCTCTGGAATTGCCTAGACACCAGCCAACTAAGGTGACAGAACAGGGGCAGTATTGAAATAAAAATTATTCTCATCCTCAATGATACTAAAGTGAAAGGCACATTTTATAGAAGGGAAAAAAAACCCCTAAATTACATCAGAATGAAAATGAAAAGTACATACTTCACAGCACATGGAAATTCAGAGCAAGAAAAGTCAATTAGTCTACTGGCCATATTATAAATAAAACCCAGAAAACCAGGGACTTAAAAAGTCCAACAATGCTTGCAGAACAGCACCACTGGAACCTAGGACTCATGAGAATCAACACCAACTATCTCTTTTTAGGATTTACAGATCCACTGGCTCATGTATGTTCTGACCTAAAACCCATCAAATAAGTTTCTTTATCCAATCCTTTATCTGAAATATGTGGAAAAGCAAATATAGTGAATACAAAAAGCAGGACATGCCAAGCTAGTCACCTTTGTTGTTACTTTATTTGGCTTTATCCCACTGAAAATCTGTGCATGTTGACTGAATCTTCCTTAGAGACATGATAGTAATTCTGCAGTCTCCTGCTTCAGAGGCATAATTTCATCCAGCTAAGGGTTCTGATTCTTATTATTACAATATATTACAAGAAAATAATATTTTCTTCTATATACACACCCTTTAGAAGACAAAGGAAACTCAGGATAAACAACTTAGAAGATGCTAGCAGCATTTTAAGATGAGTGGAGACTGCAGCCAGAATTGCACCCAACCCACGTCTTAACTTTGAAGCTATTATCACTTTAGTAAAGTCCCTTAACCTCTCTATTCTCAGTTTTCTCACAAGTTAAAATAGAGATAAAGACTGTATCTTCTTCAGACAGTTGTTGTAAAGCAGAAGTACATCATTTAGAACAGTGTCCAGTATATAATAAATCTTACATAATTATTTGTATTAGAAAAAGCATTCAGGAGGCATTGGCCTTGAATTTAAAGATTACAATTAGAGGTCAAACAGGAAAGCATGCAGCAAAATTTATAATGAGAAAACAAACTTTGTTGTGATTAAAATTAATGTATTTCATGTGGTGTAGACATCTTCAAGTTTTGAAAACATTTTCAGACTTCAAATATACCTTGATTCCAAGATTCCATGGTCTAAAATCCTCAGTCTGATCAATTTCTAAGGGTTCAAGCAAAGGCTCCCATACACCAAACATTTCATTATAATAATGCACCTATAGAGAAAATTTTTAATTTTTTTTAATAAGGCATTCTGGTATTTGCTAAAATGATCTTCCATGCTGTTTCCCACTACCATTACTTTTGGCTGCGCTATTTCTCCTATATGACAACCGTACTACATGCCACTCATTTGTTCCCTACACATACTCCCTCAGCACTTTCCTCACCTGGTTAACTTTATAGTTTAGTCTTCAGAATTTAATCCAGGTAAAACTCTCTTTTAATCATCTTTCTCTGATTTCCAGAGAGGGCTAAACATTGAAAGCCGTATTCATCTATCATGTATCATTGACATTTTTTAATATGTCTGCCTACCTCCCCTAACTTCAAAAGCCTTTGAAGGCAAGTAACATAAGATTCAATGAGGGTTTATTATTTGAATTCTCTGAACTTCGTGGATATCCTGGATCAAATCCTCTGTAAAATATACAGAATTCTAATCAGAATTTGAATATCTAGAATCTAATCAGTCATTTCTACCTGTATTAATATATAACTGTAGCAACACAAATATAGCTTATAAATTTTCATATTTGATAAAAAGTACATTATTAGATTAGTTTCCACTAGACACAAACTCAATAATTTAAACAAAAGTAACTCTGGGGACGATTCTATATAGATAAATTCTGAAGCAAACCATATGTTGGTTCAAAGCAAATATCTTTCATATAAAGTACTCTCATAGGGCCAGCCCTGTGGCGCGTTGGTTAGGAGTTGGCTTGAGACGCCAGCTCTGAGCAGCAGGGCTGCGGTACGGATCCCACATGAGGGCCAGTGACACTGCACCCTCTACAGCTAAGATGGTGAACATACAGCGGTTCGGATCCCACATAAGGGCCAGTGACACTGTGCCCTCTAAAGCTAAGATGGTGAACAACAGCTTGACCTGGAGCTGGGCTGCCATGAGTCGCTGGCGATGGCGTAGGCTGCAGCCCCTGCTGCAGTGGGCTGCCGTGAGCTACCGTGAGTGGCTGGCAGCCAGTGTGAGCTGCCAAGAGCCGCCGTGAGTGGCCGTCCAGAGGCTGGCGACCTATCTGCCTCACCCGGGAAGAGCGCAATGATAATACCAACATGGGCCAGTGAAGCGACATCCTCCACAACTAGACTGAAGAACAAAAGGACAGCAACTTGTCTGTTCCCCTTCCCGGATTCCCCAACGCTGTGCCCTCCCCCAATTCCCCAATAAAATCTTTTAAAAAAATAGAAGTACTCTCACAAAAATTTGAAAGAGCTTAGTGGAGTCTCACTAGAGTATAAAGATTCTGCATTATATAAAAGTACAAGATATATCCTTCTATTGTAATTCTTTTTTTTTTTAAAGATTTTATTGGGGAATCAGGGAAGGGGAACAGACAAGTTGCTGTCCTCTTGTTCTTCAGTCTAACTGTGGAGGATGTTGTTTCATTGGCCCATGTTGCGCTCTCCCCAGCTGAGGCAGTCGCTCGCTGGCCATTGGACGGCTGCTCACAGCAGCTCATCAAAGCGCACGCCAGCTGCCAGCCAGCCCCCTGCAGCCTACGCCATCCCAGTGACTCAGGGCAGCCCAGTTCCAGGTTGAGCTGTTGTTCACCATCTTAGCTGTAGAGGGTGCGGTATCACTGGCCCTCGTATGTGGGATCCAAACTCGGGCCCTGCTACTCAGAGCTGGCGTCCCAAGCCAACTCCTTACCAACGCGCCACTTGGCTGGCCCTGTAATTCTTTATATTACTCTTTTAGAATAGATTCAGAAATGGTCTATTATCATTTTAAAGAAAAAAGGTATTCAATTTAATTCTTAAAAATAAGAATTCTGAATCTAATCAACAACTATCTATTAATATATTAAGTTTAAGTTAATAAAATCAACTGAAATATAAACTTAACATAGATATCTACTCTAAAGGTAATGTACAACAAGTTCTCGAATAACATTGTTTCGCTCAACATTGTTTTAACATTGATGAGATATTGTAGGAATTGAACTCATATCAATCAGCATACAGTAAAATTGGTTATGTTGTTATGTCATTTTGCTTAGTCACAGAACCTATCAATAATGTTAAGTGAAGACTTACTGTACACATAAAAACTACGAGGCATGATCAAAATATAAGGTGATTGTTTAAATTTAAAATATATATATATTACAGTAAAAGAGACATTGCCATTAACACCGCTCAGAGTACTCCCTCTCATTTTGAATACACTTATCACATTGTTCTTGCCACTTTCTGAAGCAATTCTGGAAGTCCTCTTTCATGAGTGTCTTTAGTTATGCTGTCGTGGCTACCTCGATGTCCTGAGTCAATTCAAAATGTTTACCTTTCATGGTTATTTTGACTTTGGGGAAAAGCCAAAAGTTGCACGGTGCCAGAACCAGTGAATAAGGTGGATGAGGACACACCATGTTTTTATTTGACAGAAATTGCTCTACCAGAAGTGATGTGTGGGTCAGAGAGTTGTCATGATGGAGGATGAAGTAAAGACACTCATGAAAGAGGACCTCCAGAAATGCTTCAAAAAGTGGCAAGAATGATGGCGTAAGTGTGTTTGAAGCAAGGGGGAATATTTTGAGGGGGATTGATGGCAATGTGTCTTTTACTGTAATAATTTTTTTTTAATTTAAACATTCACCATATTTTTTATCACACCTTGTATATCAAAGGTATACATTTCTACACTTTCTTCCAAAAGTTTTTGAGCCAACATCGTATTTACAATAAGCTTAATTTACATATTTAAATAAGATTCCCAAAATATTCCATGTGTAGCATTATTTGTTATAAAATCTAGAAAAAATACTACATTGCTTACTTCTAGCTCAAGTTGACAGTGAAGATTTATGAGGGAACTCCAATTTTTGCCTTCCCCTGAGAAACGTGATTTTGCCAAAAGCATAGGCACTGTTCTATGACCAATTCCAGCCTCAAGAACTATAAAAACAGAATCAATGTTCATTTTGATTTTCTCTCCTTTGGGTACCAATTCAGTTGTGGGAGCTATGTTTTCAACTTCATTTGGTTCTTCAAGAAACCACATTTTTAAATTCTTTGTATCCTTCTTCTCCCATAAATGTGCTGTAGAAGAAGCAGTTTCTTCTGTGGTGGTTTCCTTATTTGTATAAAGTGCTGAAGTTATGGTAATCACAGTATTTATGATAACTGGTGAAACCTAAGGGAAAAAATTTAAACTAATAAAACATCTACTCATACCACTTTTAAAAACACATACAAAAAGTTAAATATATTTGATGAAGGATAAATAATACTGAAATGATAATTACTACCATGAAATGGCATATACAATTTGTTGCCTACAAGTTTTTTTGAATATCATAACTAATTTCAATTGTTAAGATATTTACATGAATCTTGTAGATATTAAGCTAATCAAGTGTAATTTCAACTACACATACTATAAGGATGTTAGATAGTAACAGCAGATGCAGTCAAATGCCAATAATAAAATACTATATAACATTCATTACAGAAATGTATATTAAATAATATCATGTTTTAAGTAATGTGTCATAAAAATATTTTAAAGCATAGCTTCTTTTTTAACAATTAAAAGACTTGCTATTGTAATTGCTTATTTCTAGGTTTTATTAATTTTTTTAAAACTAAAGATCTAAATGACTGACTACATTTGAACTTACCTTTAATGTCAAAGATTTTACTGATATATCAATCACTTGTGGATCTGTACCTATCTGCATAGCTTGATAGAACAAGTCACAGGGCTGCAAAACCTATGAGAGAGAAATCAATACCACTAAGTTAACATTGTTCTTAAAATATTTTTATTTAAAGACTTAGTAAAGCTTTACTTGCAAATACAACTTGCAAAGCTTCCTGTGACTACATATCAGGCCATCCCTCAAGTTTCCAAAAACATGTCTTTTACCTTCTTTCTGACTTCTCATTGGCAGAGTCTTCAATGGCCACATTTCTACCAAGAGTCTATTCAACACAATTTAGGCTTTCTCTATCATTCTCCTCAAAATTCCTCCAACTTCGGCATACCTCTACATACTACCCAGTTACAAAGTTACTCCCACATTATAATAACTGCTACATCATCTTACTTCTGGTACAAGAATCTGTATTTGTTTCGTATTGCTGCATAAGAAATTACCACAAACAGTGGCTTAAAACAACACAAATTTATTTTTTCCCCATTTTCATGGGTCAGGAATCTTGCTGAAATCAGGTTCTCAGCTGGTTGTGCCCTCATCTAGAGGTTTGACTAAGGAAAGATGTTCCCAAGCTCATTCAGTTTGTTGGTAGAATTCATTTCTTCATGGCCCTAAAAGTGTGATCTCCATTTGCTTGTTGCTGTCAGCCAAGGATCACTTTCTTTTTCTATTTTTAAATTTAATCTTATATTTTTATATTAATTTCAGGTGTACAAAATAGCATAATGACTAGACAGTTATACCCCTCACAAAGTGGTAACACCTGCCCAAGTCTACTACCCCTCTGACATCACATATAGCTGTTAACATACCATTGACTCTATTCCCTGTGCTGTACTTAGCATCCCATAAAAACACAGAGGGTGCCAAAAAAATGTATACACATTTTAGGAAACGAAAAAACTGTATTAAAATAGTAATACTCAATATGTACCAATAACAAAGATGAATACAAGTCACATTTGACTTCTGCACTTACAAGAGGTGCTCAAAGTGGTTACCATCAGCATAATTTTAATACAGATTTTTCCTTAAAGTGTGTATACATTTTTTGGCTATATATATTATACACAATTTAATTAATTTAATCATAGTTGACATTAAATATTATTCTACATCAGCTTCAGGTGTACAGGTGGTCAGGCATCTACACAATCTATGAAGTGATCCCCCGGTAAGTCCAGTACCCATCTGGCACCCTAATCTTTACAACATTATTGATTATATTCCCCATACTTTGTTTCACATCAGCCAGGGACCACTTTTGACTGCTATTTTAGAAAATCTAACATAAATAAAAATATTAGTACAGGTCATAAGTTTAGGAAAGTTATACAATAAAATAAATTGATGAAAAAAGCCAATAACCATTTAAAATAAATATGCAATAAGTTAAATATCTGAATCATGATTTACCTTTTTTTAGAATTCAGAAATTTTTTCAAAAATAATTACAAAATCCTAATGGGTGAAACAAACTCAGACAAATTTATACTCTATAAGCAGCACTGATGAGAGTATTTTATCTGTCACTACTTTAAAAAATTGGGGGTCATATATCTGTTGAAAATTAAATTCTCATAGAAAGAAACACACATAAAGTCCTCACTTAATGTCCTTGATAGGTTCTGCAACTTGAATAAAACGATGAAACCAGTTTTACCATAGACTAATTGATATAAATAAAAGTCAAGTTCCTACGGCATCTCATCAACATTATAATGAAATGTCACTGAACTAAACATTATTCAAAGACCTGTTGAATGTAATACTTTATAGACATTTTCAAAAAGTTCATAAATCTCTAATAAACATTCATGGACCCATAGATTAATGCTGAATTAAGAAACTTAGTCCTAATATAAAATGAATACAATATCAATTAAAGTTGCACTAATTACAACTTATCTAAATGTTATGTGGCCAAAAGTGCTAGTGGGCCATAAATACCCTTTCTCAAAATTCCCTATAATCATAGAAGTTTCGAAATAATGTATTTTCATTCTCATTAATTTCTATGTATCTTCGGATCTCTCCTTTTATTTCTTCTTTGACCCAGTCTTTCTTTAGTAGCATGTTGTTTAATCTCCATGAATTTGTAGGTTTTCCCACTTTCTTTTTGTAGTTGATCTCCAATTTCAAAGCACTGTGGTCAGAGAATATATTTGGTATGATTTCAATCATCTTAAATTTGCTTAGGCTAGTTTTGTGTTCCAACATATGGTCTATCCTTGAGAATTTCCCATGTGCACTAGAAAACAAGGTATAGTCTAGTGTTCTAGGATGAAATGCTCTGTAAACATCAATTATGTCTACTTGATCTAATGTGTGAGTTAAGGCTGATATTTCCTTATTTTGTTTGGATGATATATCCATAGCTGTCAATGGCGTATTTAGGTCCCCTACTACTATGTATTTTTGTTAGTTTCTCCCTTTAGTTCTGCTAGTAATTGCCTTATATATTAATATTTTGGTTGGGAGCATATATATTTATAAGTACATCTTTTTGTGTTGTCATTATGTGTTAATTATTAGCATTTGTGTTTATCATTATGAAATGTCCATCGTTGTCTCTTGTTACTTTTTTTATCCTGAAGTCTGTTTTGTCATATATAAGTATGGGTACACCCAGTTTTCTCTATATGCGATATGTGCTTGGAGTATCGTTTTCCGCCCTTTCACTTTGAGCCTATATTTGTCTTTGTATTAATAGCTGAGATGTTTCTCTTGAAGAAAGCATATGGTTGGGTTTTGTTTTTTGATCTGGTCTGCTACTCTGTGCCTTTTTAGTGGTGAGTTCAATCCATTTATATTTATGATAATTACTGATATATGAGGATTTCCTATACACCTTTTCTCTCTTATTTTCTGGTAGGTCAATGTCTCCCTGTTTCTCTGCCTTTGTGTTTCTGTCTGTTATTTTAGTTTGGTGGTATTCTATGATTTCATCCTCTGTTTCCTCTTTTTTTTATGTTATGTATCTCAGTTCTGGATATTTTGAGTAGTTACCATTGTTTGTATAAAAGGAAGTTTCATATATACAGTAGTCCTTTTTCTTCAGCATGAATCTTATCTCTATTCCCCAGTGCAAATTCAGACCTTCACTCCCTCTCCTTTTGTTTTTGTTGTCACAAATTATCCCTATTAATGCTGTGAGTTCATTTTTGAGTTTCAGTAACACTCTCTTCTTCTTTTTCTTTATGTTTTTATCTTCTTTACTCTTTATAAGTGTATAGTGCTCTATTCTGTGTAGGGGTTGCCATTTCCTTTCTCTGTCGGTCTCTTAGTAATCTTACTCATAGTTTTGCATCCCTTTGTCTTTTTGTTTCAGGTAGAATAACCACCTTCATTGTCTCCTATAATGCAAGCCTTGTGGTGGAAAATTCCCTCAGCTTCTGTATATCTGGAAAGGTCTTTATTCCGCCTTCAAATTTAAAGGATAATTTTGCTGGATATATTATTCTTGGCTGGTAATCTCTCTCTTTCAATATTTGATCCTACTCCCTTCTGGCTTATTGAGTTTCTGCTGAAAAATATGATAATCTAATGGGCTTTCCGTTGCAGGTTGCCATCTTCTTTTACACTGCTACCTTGAGAATTCTTTGTCACTAACTTTGACAGTTTCAATATAATATGCCTTGTAGGCCTTTTTGGAATGAGGTAATTATGTGTTCTGTTTGCTTCTTGGATTCGAGAATCCAGTTCTTTCCATAGGTTTGGGAAGTTCTCATCAACTATTTGTTTGAATAGGCTCTCTGTACCTTTCTCCCTTTCTTCTCCTTCTGGAATACCCATTATTTTTATATTGCTATTTCTGATGAAGTCAGCTAGTTCTTGTTCTTTCATTTCTTTTAACTCTGAAGTCTCTCTCTTCTTCCATCTGCATCACTTCCAGGTCCCTATCTTCAATATCACTAATTCTTTCCTCTACCTGGTCAGCTCTAATTTCAACCTCTTTGATAAAATATTCACTTTGTTCATTGGTTTTATTTCTGAGTTCATTAAACGGCCTATCTGAGTTTTCTGAGTATTGGAAGACCTAGCGAGGGCAATCAGGCAAGAGAAAGAAACAAAAGGAATCCAAATTGGGAATGATGAAGTTAAATTGCCACTTTTTGCAGATGACATGATTCTTTATATAGAAAACCCTAAGGACTCCACAAAAAAAACTATTAGAAACAATAAACAAATAAAGTTGCAAGATACAAAAATCTATGTAAAAAAGTCCACTGTGTTCCTATATACTAACAATGAAATTTCAGAAAAATAAATTTTAAAAAATTTCTTTTGCAACTGCAACAAAAAGAATAAAATACCTAGAAATAAACCTAACAAAGGATGTGAAGGTCTATACACTGAAAACAATAAGACTTTATTAAAAGAAATTTTAGAATGCACAAAGAAATGGAAAGATATTCTATGTTGATGGGTTGGAAGAATCAACATACTTAAAATGGCCATATTACCTACAGCAATATATACAAGCTATAATGCAATCTTCATCAAAATACCAATGGCATTTTTAAAAGAAATAGAACAAAAAAAAAATCATCATATTTGTAAGGAATTACAAAAGACCCCGAATAGCCAGAGCAATCCTGAGGAAAAAACAGCATGGCTGGAGGTATCACACTCCTTGAATTCAATTTATACTACAAAGCAACAATAATCAAAACAGCGTTGTATTTGTCAGGAAAAACAGACACACAGACCAATGGAATGGAATCAAGAACCCAGAAATAAACCCACATATCTATGGGCAGAAAATTTTCAACAAAGGAGCCAAAAACATACAATGGAGAAAAGAAAGTATCTTCAGTAAATGCTTTTGGGAAAACTGGAAAGCCATGTGCAAAAGAATGAAACTACACTGCCATCTGTCACCATATACCAAAATTAATTCAAAATGGATCAAAGACCTAAACATAAGACCTGAAACAATAAACTGCATATAAGCATAGGTACTAAATGTATGGACCTTAGGTTCAGAGAGGATTTTATGAATTTGATTTCAAAGGCAAGGGATGTAAAAGTAAAAATAAATGAATGGGATTATATAAAACAAAAAAGTTTCTGCACAGCCAAAAAAACCATCAACGAAACAAAGAGGCAGCCAACCGAATGGAGAAGGTATTTGCAAACAATGCCTCCGATAAGGGGCTAATATCCAAAATATATAAAGAACTCATATAAATCAACAACAACAAATCCAATTAAAAAATGGGCAGAAGACCTCAATAGACACTTCTCCCAAGATGACACAAAAAAGGCCAACAGATATAAGAAAAAATGCTCAACTTTACTAGCTATTAGGGAAATGCAGTCAAAACCACAATGATACCACCTCACACCTGTTAGGATGGCTATTATCAACAAGACCATAACAAGTGTTGGAGAGGTTGTGTTGAAAAAGGAACCTTCATAAACTGCTGGTGGGCATGTATTAAATAAATTTGTATAGCCACTATGGAAAACATTATGGAGGTTCCTCAAAAAATTAAGAACAGAATTGCCATACAACCCAGCAATCCCTCTTCTGGGTATCTACCCAAAATAACTGAAACATTTATCCGTAAAGATATATGCCCCCCCATGTTCACTTCAGCATTATTTATAGTGCCCAAGGCATAGAACAACAGTGTTCTTCAATAGCTGACTGGATAAAGAAGATATGGTACATATACACAATGAAATATTACTCAGCCATAAGAAAAGATGAAATAGTACCATTTGAGACAACATGTATGGATCTTGAGATTATCATGCTAAGTGAAATAAGTCAGACAGAAAAAAATCGAGAACCATATGGCTTCACTCATATGTGGTATATAAAACTGAAAGCAACAAACAAACAAGACAAAGAAATAAAGAAACAAAAACTCATAGATACAGACAACAGTTTAGTGGTTACCCGAAGGTAAGGGGTGAGGGGCGGTGGCAGAAGAGGGAAAACGGGGTCACATATATGGTGATGGAAGGACAATTGACTCTTGGTGGTAAACACACAACACAATATATAGATGATATACAAGTATTATAGAAATGTACACTTGAAACCTATATAATTTTACTAACCAATGTCACCCCAATAAATTTAATTAAAAATTAAGAAAAAAGGGCTGGCCGAGTGGCACGATGGTTGAGAACTGGCTTGGGATGCCAGAGGGCCCCGGTTCGGATCCCACATATGAGGGCCAGTGACACTGCCCTCTACAGCTAAGATGCTGAACAACAGCTCAACCTGGAGCTGGGCTGCCGTGAGTCGCCGGCGACGGCGTAGGCTGCAGCCCCTGTGGCAGTGGGTTGCCATGGGCTACCGTGCGTAGCCAGCAGCCAGAGTGAGCGGCCAGCAGCCGCAGTGAGCGGCCGTCCAGAAGCCAGCGACTGATGTGCCTCGCCCGGGAAGAGCGCAATGATGGTGCCAACTTGGGCCAGTGAAGCAACGTCCTCCACAACTAGACTGAAGAACAAAACGACAGCAACTTGTCTGTTCCCCTTCCCCCAATTCCCCAAGCATTGTTCCCATCCCCCCAATTCCCCAATAAAAAATCTTAAAAAAAAAAAAATAAGAAAAAAAGAGCAACTTCTTAATGAGGCTATTCTCACAAAAACAAAAAACAATGAGGAGCAACCAAAAGAATGAAAGAGACTTTCAAAGATGGATAATAATGCAGATTAGTCTCTCCAAGCAGAAAGAAAGGTACTTTACAGAGAACGGTTTTAAAGTATGTAGGTAGTTTCCTCAAGTGGTGTATATTAAATCCAAAACAGTTGACAATTAAGCAGATAATTAAGCAGTAAACTCACAGTAGTGATTTTGTCTTTTCTCTTGGCTGGAAGAAATGGGCATGCTCTCATTTGGAGATCTTTAATAGCAGCAGTCATTGTACTGTTTTCAAAGTCACCTTTCCAACAAACTTCACATTGTGTTGTAATGACTAAGGCAGGAGCATCATTTTTTGTCATATCAGCCACAAACACAATTTCAGGATTTTTAATAATAATATTAACTTCCCACTTCTGTTGTTCCTGTATAGGTACTAAAATAGAAATAAAAATAAATGAATAATCTAAAATATTATGGTGATGGAAGGAAAACTGACTCTGGGTGTTGAACATGCAATATGATATACAGATGATATATTACAGATTGTACACTTAAAACTATGTAACTTTACTAATCATTGTCACCCAATAAACTTTAATAAAAAAATAAAATAAAATATTTATAAATGTTTGTTATATATGTTATTTATGAAATATATATTTATAGGAAAAAATTATTTCCATTCTAAGTAAAAAGTAAGGCTCAGTTGGTTAAGAGCTCATTCAAGAGTTTGAGCTCTGAGCAACAGCGGTTCAACTCCCGGCCCGAGCTGAGCAGCCGCTGAGCTGCCAACCGGTGGCAGGATGGCTCAGCTTAAAATAAAAATAAAATAAATAAAATAAAATAAAAAGTAAAATAAAGGAATCTTAGATCCCAAAGGAATTACAGCAACTCTATTAGTATAAGATTTGAAGAAGCTATAGCCATAAGCACATTTAAAAATGTGGGGGGAAAATCTCCACTATTTAATGGCAGGGCTGGAAACTAATACAGTTTCTAACCCTCAACTTGACACACTTTCCAGTACATAATAAATAAGTAAAAATAATAGGAAACGATAAATATAACAAAAATAAGAGTATTTTTAGTTAAAATACTATCTTTCATAATGAAAAAAAGTGATCCATTCATTATTTCCCCCACTTGTTTTCTTCCAACAAATTCTTTCAAAGGACTGCCTTCAGAGAAGTACAAGGTCTGACAATTAAGTTTGCGAACTCATCCTAGAGAAAGTGCTACACACCTCATTGCTGAATTATCACTATGGTCACCTTTGAAGTACTCCTCTTGGGAAGCTATGCACTGATGCCAGCATCTCTAGTCCACTCCTCAAAACAATTTTGTAACTCTTTTTCTGGAATGACCGTCAGAGCTGTCATCATATTACCCTTGATGTCCTGAATGTCATCAAAATGTCTTCCTTTCAATATTTCCTTTATCTTCAGGTAGGGAAAGAAGTCACTGGGAGCCAGATCAGGTGTGTAGGGAAGGTGTTCCAATACAGTTATTTGTTTACTGGCTAAAAAGTCCCTCACAGACAGTGCTGTGTGAGCTGGTGCATTGTCGCGATGCAAAAGCCATGAATTGTTGGCGAACAATTCAGGTTGTCTAACTTTTTCATACAGTCTTTTTGGCATTTCCAAATAGTAAACTTCGTTAACTGCTTGTCCAGTTGGTATAAGTTCATAATGCATAATCCCTCTAATATCAAAAAAGGTTAGCAACATCATTGCAACAAGTTCGCGAACTTAATTGTCAAACCTCATACAACTACTTATTCTAATATAAGTCTCAAAATTTTTGAACCCGATATATATTCACACCTTGAAAAATATGTAAACTGCACATCCCAGCAGAAAACACATATAAGTTTTTCCCCTTACCTCTGAAAAATAAAGATTTAAATTTATTAATTCACTTAACCTCATCATCTAGAAAGCTAACCAAGTCAGGTGCTATTGTGGCATTTTAATAACACAGATATTAAATATTTTTGTCGATAACCAACCTTCTTCCTTAGCAGTCCATGCTTGAACACTGGTTTCTACAGCAGAGCCTCTGGTATAGGCCTCAAGAAAGACATTTGCAACTGTCAGCAGAAATTCCACACTTGCACAAATATATATTTCTTGAAGGACTAAGTCAGCCACCCAACCATCTCTGACTTTCCTATACTTTACATCCATCATGTCCTTTTTGTCAAATCCAACTGTCAGTCCTATCATTCTGAAAAACACAATAATAACAATTCCTATGAGCATCTTAAAAATAACCGCACACACCAATAAAATTTTCCCTTTCACTGACAACAAACCAGCATTCTGAAGTTATTTCTCATAAGAAGATCACAAATATCTCCAAATAATATACATAAAAACTTCTAGAGCATAACTGTTCTATAAGTTAGGAAGTATGTTTTTAAGAAATTATCAGAATTTTGAATCTCAGCATATTTTTTTTCTTCTCAATTTTTCATGTATTTCCCATTACAATTTCAATGGATTGATAATTTAGATAATAGATTAATTTTAAAAAACCACTATAATTAAACTGATTATTTCTATTTAACCAATCTATTAACCATCCAGCAAGAAGACCACATATCTGAACCAAGACATTTTAAATGTTGACTGAGAATCGTGATTCAATTGAACTGAAGCTCTGAAGATCTTAAGTATGTATCCAGGGAAAGAACATGCAACTTTGGGAATAAGTTTTGTAAAATATATCAACCATTTCTCAAGTAAAAACTTAGACTGCTATTACCTAGGAGTTGCCTTCTTGACATGAGGCCTTTTATCATCTAAGATACAGTTTTTTAATGAGAAGGCAGAAAATGTTGAATCATCTGTATACATTTTTAAAGTACTTATTATATTCTCCAACTTAAATTCAGCAAGTTTCAAAGAAGGATCACGAACATCTGTAAACGAAGTCTGTGGGACAGAAAAACAATACAAATTTTACACAAAAACATAAATCTATAGCATACTGTATGATATGATCTACCACATTCTCTATCTCCAAAGGGCTCACTAATGAAATGCCAAAAAATTATTTAATTTTAAATTTTATTTTTCACATCACTGGCTATAAGAAATATAATTCATTTTAAAAGAGAAATAAATGGTTAAAATTATTTTATTATTAAAGTGAAGAGCAATAATTTTTCTCACAGAAGCATATACTCCAAAATATATATGAAATATTAATAACTGTTATTTTAATGAATATTCACAATGTAATTTTCATCAAGTGAAAAATGTATTTTCTTCTCCTCCTCAAGTTACCTGTTCCAGACTTGGACTATACAGTATCATGGTGAGATAATCAGTTTTGAAACTCATATTTAGTGTTGTCTTAACTTGAGAGTCATGTGAATGTACTTCAACCACAGCAGCTGTCACTATAGTTGTTCCTTGGAAGAAATTAGTTATTGGGTAAAAGAAAAAAGTCAGAAAAGTTAGACTTCAATAAAACACACTTGAAATATATTTAAGAGAATTATTAGTTAAGTAAGTATAGAAAAAGAAGAGACTTATAGCAGCAATAAAAGCAGCCACATGATATTCTTGAAACTGGGCAATAGGTACATGTGAGTCCATTACCTTATTCCTTCTATTTTAGTGAATGTGTAAAAATTTCCAGAAGAAAATGATTAAAGTAATATATTTAAATGTCTATTTTTCATTCCATCCATTTTAGACATTATCTTTACACTCTTCACTAAGTCCTGGCTACTTCCTCTTACTGTCCCATCTTCCTCTCTGCAGCTTTGGTCAGTTATATCTTTACTTCTATATTAACATGGCTTAATAACATTTACATTGTTATTTACATAGTAAGTCCTCCATGTCTTGTTTAACTGTGGCTACATAATCATTTTCAATGGAGACTAATAGTTTATTATAATACTTCCTCGGCTGCTACATTACAACTCGTGCATCTCTCAAAAAAGGCTCTCTTCTCACAGTTTAACAGCTCCAAATCATGCAAAATGTACTCCACTTCTACCCCAGAATATATAGAGATTTCTCCCTTCTTAGGGACAGAAAACATTCCTTCTTTTCCATATAACATATGTAAGGTAGTGACAGTAGTCCTCTCTTATCCACAGTTTTACTTTCTGTGGTTTCAGTCACCTGTGCTTAACTAAGGTCTCAAAGTATTAGATGGAAAATTCCAGAAAAAAATAATCCCTAAGTTTTAAATTGCACACCATTCTGAGTAGCATGGTGAAATCTTGTGCTGTCTCCGTTCCATCCCGCCCAGGACATGAAATCATCCCTTTGTCCAGAGTATTTTCACCGTATATGCTACCTGCCCGTTAGTCACTTAGCCCTCTTGGTTATCAGACCAGCTGTCGTGGAATTGCAGGCTTGTGTTCAAGTGACCCTTATTTTACTTAACAATGGCCCCAAAGCCATTCACATACCTTTTTTTTACAGTATGTGTTATAATTGTTCTATATTGTTAATCACTTATTATGCCTAATTTACAAATTAAACTTTATCACAGGTATGTACATATATATAGGAAAAACCATAGTATATATAGCATTCAGCAGTTTCAGGCATCCACTAGGAGCTTTGGAATATATCCCCCATGGATGTGAGGTGGGAGAGGGGACCTATTGAAATTAATTCATCCTTCTACATATATTATGGAGTTTATGCTCTTTTTCTTAAGACATTGTTCCACTTTTTTTCGTCAAGTATTCTGAATTAATATTTAATGACAATAAAATACTTCCTAGCCCAGTAACAGAAAATTTTGGGATTCCTTTTCAGTCTACTCATTGGTAGGCCAATTGTTTTTGGGTCCCATATTTGCCTCATTCCTGGATTCCTTGTTTGTTTTGCTAGAATATATTTTAAAACTAATTTATTTAGGAATGAGTGTAAAGTTAAGTACATTGTGTCACTAAAAATTTAAGAATTATTGTGTTTTCACATTTGGATAATGGTTTGGCCATATATAGATGCGTACCTTCAAAATCATTTTCCTTAGAAATTTGACTATATAGCTCCATTATCTTTTATCATCCATCCATTCCATCCCACCCAGTTTTGTTGATAGTAAATCTGATTCCAATTACCTTTGTTCCAACCCCCTAATACGCAAGTCTGTGTTTTTCTGAAACTAAAAATCTTACCTTTGCTGTTCTCAGATTTCATGAAAATGTGTTTGCGTGGGGTCTTTGTTTATTCAGTGTGCATGAAACTGGGTAGGTTATGACCAAGAAATTGTTTCAATATTTACTTCTCTCTGGAGAGTCTTCTGTTATTTCTGTGAAAAATTCTTCTCTTCCATTTTCTCAGTTCTTTGTCCTAAAATATCTATCATTCTGGAATTGGACCTCTATCACTTTAATGACTGCTATCATTTTCCATCTCTATGTTATTTTTCTTTTATGTCATGGAAGATTACATCAACCATATATGCAAATTCAGTAACTACATTCTAACACCATGCTTACTGCATTTATTTTGTTTAAAAATTTTAGCAATCATGTTTTCGGTTTCTAAGAATTCTTTCTTATCTTGGGAGGGTGAAAGGTAATGAAGGTAAGACTCAGTTCTTATATTCTCAAATTCCTCGAATTATGAGTTTGGTTTCAGTTTGTTTGCATTCTCTTCTGTTCCTTCATTTGTTTTAATAAATAAACACTATTCTGTTTGTTGGTTTCTTTCATGCTTAGGTTCTTGTGATTTTCTTTGGATCAGTCCATTAATATTTAGCAGTAAACGACCGGATTGGTTACACTAGCTAGTAATGATGAGGTTTCCTATAATGTTATAAATGCAGGGTTGTTTATGTATTAGCATTCTCCCTGAAAAAAGCTATGTAAAATCTAAGGGCTTTGCAAGAGTGGATCTTGTGGGCTAACAGGTTATATTTTAAGATAGCTTTGGGGATCTCCCAAAATGCCAGAATGAGGAGAACTTCATTCTTGTGAAGCAAAACCATCTCAGCAGCTCTAATTGACCCAGTTCTCTGTATGTGCTGGTGTTGAACCCAGTGAGGTTCCACATGGCAAGTTAAATCCAACACTGGATACAGCCTCTTTTTTTATTATGGTTCCCTCTGCTTTGTTCCTTCCATCTATCCTCCAAATATTTGTTGAAATCCATAATTTACTAAAGATTATCCTCTCTTGATACCTCTAACATTTTGATACTCCTATATCAATATAAAATATTCCATCTGGGATAGATGCTGCACTAGGAATAAGGGGGAAGAGGAAGCACGGGGAGAAAAACTGAAAGAAAAAAAAAAGGATCTATAGGGAATTTGGGATAACAAGACTAGAAATTTTGAATCAAAGAAAAAAATCAACAGAATGACTAATAAACAACTTAGAGAAACCTGAATGGAATGAGATAATTAGAAAAGATTTACAAATCTTATTTTACCCAAAACCAGAAGTAGAGAATGGAAAGAAAGAAGAGAGGTTGGGGGAGGCGGGTTGAGAATTAAAGTTAAGAACATACCTCCAGAATGATGTGAAGCATTAGTAACTCCACTAGTAACACTACTCTGATCTTTTGTTCCTGCTGGTGAGGCACTACCACCTTCTTCATACCATATGTTACCATATAATGTTTTAAAAAGAGTTGTTATATCCTCTTGACTAAGAATAAACTGTTAAAAAAAAGATTTGCTTATTTTAGTATTACTATTTCATGTAGTTAAAAATGCTCATTTAAGAAAAATGTCTGTTTCACTTCAATCCTCTACAAAACCAGTTTTTTAACATGAGACAGAAAATTTCTAACTGAATATTCAGTTTTAAATGACCACGTGACCTTTAGTATCTTCTGAAATACAGAATTAAATTAAATGCCAGTACCAATGAAGCATTAATGATGAGCTACTTTTGTTGTGACTTACCAAGTAACCTAGTAATTTTTAAATGCATTTACATGTTTAAGTATTCATCTAGGTACTTTGTCTTTTTTTGGTTAGTAAGTAGCTCAATTTACAAATATAGGATAATAAAAAATAATACATTTGTATAATGAAAAATAGTTCACAATGTGTTTTACATGAATTACTTTATCTGAGCCCCACAAGTCCTAGGTATAAAAAATATAATCCTGAGCGGGCCTAGTGGCGCACTGGTTAAGAACTGCCTTGGGATGCCAGAGCCCCGGTTTGGATCCCACATGAGGGCCAGTGACACTGCGCTCCACAGCTAAGATGATGAACAGCAGCTCGACCTGGGGCTGGGCTTCTGTGAGTCGCCGGCGACGGAGTAGGCTGCAGTCCCTGCTGCAGTGGGTTGCCATGGGCTACCGTGTGTAGCCGGCAGCCAGCGTGAGCGGCCAGCAGCCGCCATGAGCGGCTGTCCAGAGGCCGGCGACTGATCTGCCTTGCCCGGGAAGAGTGCAATGATGGTGCCAGCTTGGGCCAGTGAAGCAACATCCTCCCAACTAAACTGAAGAACATAAAGACAGCAACTTGTCTGTTCCCCTTCCCTCAACTCCCCAGTGCTGTTCCCCTCCTCCAACTCCCCAATAAAATCTTTAAAAAAAAAAAAAAAAAAAAAAATATATATATATATATATATATATATATATATATATATATATAATCCTGATTTTTTAAGAAGCTGAGACTTAAATGGTTAAGTATCATGCTTCAGTCCACTTAAAGAACTTGACACACTAAAAACCCCGTATGTTGCAAATTTAGCCTAAAATCACCACCATAAGTATATGTCCTGAAAGCTGTGATGGTTAATTAGTTTTATGTAAATTTGGCTAGGTCATAGTATTGAAATATTTGGTCAAATATTATCCTAGATGCAAATAATCTCACCAAGGACAAAAATATATTTAAGGAAATTATACATCTGTATATACACACAGAGGGTGTCAAAAACATGTATACACATTTTAATAAAGGAAAAAAACTGTATTAAAGTTGTAATACTCAATATATACTGATAAGAAAAGATGAATACAAGTCACGTTTGGCTTCTGCAATTGCAAGAGGTGCTCAAAGTGGTTACTGTCTGCGTCCAGACACTTATGATTATGGCGAACCACTGCTTGACTTGTTGCTGTGCGAGGCCACCCGGATCTGCCCGTGCACATCACACAGTATCATGTATCTCAAACTTATCACGAATGTGTGCAATTGTTAGGCATGTTGGAAGTTCTATTGCATACTCATGCCTCCATTCTCGTACTTCCACAATGTTCTCGAATTTCAAATACCACTTCAAAATGGTCTTATGCTTCTCGAACGACAACCATGCTTCCGCCATTTTCTCTGGCTGTCCTGCCTGTCACACAGTGACACTAGAATTCATTTATTAACGCCATCTTTTGAGCGAATGTCATACTATACATTGCTACCATAATTCAATTCAACTTTGAAAAGTAATGCATAGATAACATCTCTTAAAATGTGTATACATTTTTTGTCACCCTCTGTGTGTGTGTGTGTGTGTGTGTCTGTGTGTGTGTGTGTGTGTGTGTGTGTGTGTGTGTGTGTGTCTGTGTGTCTGTGTTCCACCTAGTAGTTAGCAGCTGTGGCCGCCCACATACTTGATCCCTCCTAGACCTCAACCTCAGGGTCACGGAGAGGCTAACATCAAGTCTTCAAGAAGTTAGTCTAATACATCCAGGCCAAGTGTACATTACATTGGTTTTGTTTCTCTGGAGAACTCTAATACTTAAACAGCCACTATATAAAAAACAAAACAAAACCTTTGAGTTTTAAATTGAAACTTTCTACATATCAGCAATAAGGCCATTTCGCTTTCTTATCATTCATGTCTTCACTAGAGTACACTTTTAATTTCCTTCACATTCACAACTTGGCTGTTTGGTGCAATAGGCCTGGCTTTCAGCCTGTCTCGGGTTTCAACCTGCCTTTCTCACTAAGCTTAATCATTTCTAGATTTTGATTTAAAGTGAGAGATGTACAACTCTTCCTTTCAATTGAACACTTAGAGGTCACTGTAGGGTTATTAACTGGCCTAATTTCAATATTGTTGTGCATTAGGAATAGGGAGGCCCAAGGAGAAGGAGCGAGATGGGGGACCAATCCAACCAGAGGCCACTCAGCGGAGCAGTCGGAACACACACAACAATTATTTAAGTTTGTCGTCCTATATGGGTGTGGTTCGTGGTGCCCCAAAACAATTACAATAGTAACATCAAAGAGCACTGATCACAGGTCACCGTAACAACTATAATAATAATGAAAAAGTTTCAAATAGTGTGAGAATTACCAAAACGTGACAGAGAGACATGAAGTGAGCAAAAGTTGGGGAAAAAGGCACCAAAAGATTTGCTTGAAGCAGGTTTGCCACAAATATTCAATTTGTAAAAAATGCAATATATGTGAAGCGCAATAAAGCAAAGCACAATGACTATACTAATTTAGTGTTTTAAGATTAAGTCCATGTGTACCTTATTCATATTGCTTATGTTGTTTTATTTGTTATACCTACTACTTAGGTTTTTCAAATTTTTCATTTATTTATGATTTATTTTGTGATTATTCAGCAGATATTGCAAAAAGTTATGTTCATATAAATTTATAAACTGAAATTACATATTACAACTTCTAAACCGCCTTTCAATTAGTACATGCATATTGAATGCCTGCCAAATATTGATATTAATCATCAATTTTCAATCTTGTCAACAGCTCACTGCAGGAAGTTGGAAGAAGTTGGAAGGATCCCCAAACTGCTGATCTGTGGCTCCTGCATATTAGGACAGGCTGTGTGCGCTATCCCCAAACATCTGACAAGTCAGAAATCACAATCTGCGAACACTTAGTCTGGATGCATTAGAGTAACTGCTTCCAGGTTTTCTCTGATGCATAAGATGTCTAGGAGGGGTCGAGTATGTTGACCAAAGAATGGGCTACAACTGCTAACTAATCATGTGGATCAGGGTAAGGGAAGAGCAATTCCATCCACCCCAGAAGGCAGCCGGGCATTTGGGGATGATCTGCAACATCACCCGAGACTTTCACATGTCTTCTCCCTAGAGAAGAGTGAAGAAACGGCATCCTACCGCCCCAAATAAATCTGCCTAATGACTATCCCCAGTAGGGGGAGGATGTGCTCAGCATGGTACTTATGTTTCCTAAGTTTCTATCTGTTGTCTTACCAATATAAAGAGACTTCGATTATTTATCTTAAGAGGTTACTTTCCATCTATAAGTAATGGAGTCCATATGATCTTATACAGTAAGAGCTTAAAGATTTTCAGTTGAGGGTAAATGGGTTTAACTAAATGGTGATGGAAGGAGAACGGGTGGTGAACACACACTATGATGTATAGATTATGTATTACAGAATTGTACACTTGAAACCTATGAAATTTTACTAACCATTGTCAGCAAAAAAAATTTTAATAAAAAAAAAAAAGATTTTCAGTTGAGACCATGTTTCAAATTCTAAATATACTTTTAAGTTAAAAATCTTACATATTTAAAATGATTGTTTTCTCCTTTTGAATAGCTTTATATAAAGAAATAGAAAGGAAAACTGGAAGTAGGGGGTAGGAAGACACATCATATGTTGCTATCACTTCAGCAAAGCATATGATATAATTTTTACTTCTATCGAGTCAAGTGGGAAAAATATGTACTCATGGATTACATTAGAGATCTGTGAAGCAATATCAACCAAAATGCCGAAGGTCCTGATCCATTTGCTATTTTCATCTTCACCCTCTCCATTCTTCTAGTGCCTCTCTGAGTTATTTCATATATCCCCATGGCTGTAAATACCATCTATATGCTGATGACTTCCAAATTACTATTTCCAGCCTAGACCTCTCCACTAAGTTCTATATTAAGATATCCGACTGACTACTTATGGCACGGTGTCTAATATTTGTTTGCTTCATGGAATTTACCACAATTGAAAACTATTTTTAATTATGTGCCTGTGTACTATTTTACTGTGTAATTAACATGCCTCTGGGCTACCATCACCAACTCCTGCATTAGACTGATAAGTCCATGAAGCCAGAGACAATGTCATATGCGTAGCTTCTTTGCAACTGTATCTCCAATACGTAGTCCACATATATTTTATATATATATACACACTGTATGTATATCTAACATACAGTAGGGCACTAAAATAGTTGTTGAATAAATGAATGGAGACACTCAATGAACTCTAGGTTAATACAGCTACTATTTCAATTCCAACAAAGGTGATGAATGTATAACTTCTACACCCCAATGTCTTTATGTCCCCAAGAAATATTTTTTAACCAACAAAACAAAATCAGTAAGCATCCAAAAAGTTACCTCCATGGGCTTTAGCTGAGCATTTACATTAAAACAAGGAACTTCCTGGTACCACTCCCAGGATAAATTTCGCTCAACAATCACCTCAAGATTTAATGGCAGTAATAGATCCAGTACTTTCTGGTAGGCATCATTAATAAATTGAGTCCTGTAAGTAGAAATAAAATTGTTTTGAATTTTTCCTATATATGCAGATAATAACAAAAAAAATTATTTTATATACTAATAGAAATCAATAATTTTTTGTGTGAAGAGAAAAATAAAATCCATTAGGCTTTCCATGTCAAAATGAGGCATGTTTCATTGCACTAATGTAGGTGACTTTCTCTGAGCTGAAGTGTTCCATATTGTAGAGAAATGAATTTTTAAATTAGGATTTTGCAATGTTTAAAAGAGCCAAAAATGTCCAAGTTTGTTAAACCTTTAAAATTAGAATCTCTATATAATCTGTAAACATATATAAGACCTCTTATAAAAATATTTTAATTCACTAGTGTAGATGTGTAGCAAAATACCACATATCCCCTTACTTTGTAAGAAAGAGTTGCACCATATGAAATTTCTTTTTCTGTGGATCAGAAATAGTTGACCATGGAAATGGAACCACATTTGTCTTTCCATATACTTATAAGGATAGGATTGATGGTAAGAAATGATGAAAAGTGTAGTAGGTTAATGAACCCCTTTCAAGTGACAATGTGACCATAGAAGCCTCCCACTGTATCTTAAAATTATAATCTCAAAGTGCACTCCCTGATAATGGACTTATATTTTAATTGGCAGCAAATCCAAAATCTTTCAACTATGGTATGAAGCTATGACTGTAGAATTTTAGATATCACTTACTCAACTGGAGAGAAATATGGGAGCCATCAAGGATCGCACAGAATACCTAGTATATGGTGTCATTTTATGAACTGACGACAGAGTGACACTGTACTTATGCATGCATTCTTGCAATATCCACTTAAAGATAATAAGGAATCTAAAAGCCCTATAGGGTATATTACATACACAACTTTAATAGATGATATTACACGGCTATACCATAAGTCATTTAATCAACCTTCTGTTAAAGAGTTATATTGTTTCTAATTCTTCACTGTAATAAATACTTGGATCATTATCTTTGTAAATATCTTTGAGTAAATTTCTTCCTTTGGATGAGCTGCGAGACACATTAATTGCTATGTCAAAAGATAATTTCTTCTGGAAGATTATTTCTTATCAGTACTACCCAATATCTGCGGTTGACACCTTTCCTTTGTGCTTCCACAATACCTTGAACTTTTTCTATCATTCTATTTAATATGCTATATTTTAATAGTTTATTTTATTGTCTGTAGTTTCAATTAGAATGACAACCTCATGAGGGCAGGCAGGGCCTGTTTATCTTATTCTTTGCTATATTGCCAGTACCTGGCTCAGATGATTGCAATATACCATATACTGTACAATTATTTGCTAAGTTGCATTCAAGAAACTGGGTCAACATGTAAACTACAATATATGAGAGCTCCATTTCTCAAAATTAATAGGCAAACATTATTTCACTGTATTAATTTTCATTCCTTCGATTATTAATAAGGTTAAACATTTCTATTAGCTGTTTATTGGCTATCATTGTTTCTTTAAAGAATTATCTAGTCACAATCTTTACCAATTTTACAAATTATTTTTTCTAGTTTAAAATATTTAAAGATTTTTATTCTCTGTTAAGATGTTGCTAATTACCCCATATGCAATTTCTGTTATAATTTTGTTTTGGTAATTAATATTCAGAAACTTATATTCTTGTGTAAAGCCAATTGATATTTTTCCCTTATCACTTTTTCTTCTTTCATCAATGCTTAAATTAGAAAGTTCTTCTCCACCCTATTACTGATACTTACATGTTATTTGCCCTTAGCTTTTTTAATAGTGTTATTGAGATAATTTACATACCATACAATTCACCCACTTTTAATCTTTTACGGTAGTAAGTAGCACGATGTTTGGCAGCCATTTTGAACAGCAAAATCACTAACAAAAAGCCCCAAAATGTGAAAAACATGGCACCCGTAAAGGGCACTGTTTACAGTATGAGCGCTGAGATAATACTGCAGAGCATCACCTTGTTTGACACCTGAGCTGGGAACGGAAGCTTTGGGAGGCTTCGATTTCTCTCAGCTCTGTACATGCCCACAAAATTACAATGAGTATTTATTTTTGGGGTCACAAATAAGTTTTAACAAGGTGGAAAGTTCACAAATATGGAATTTGCAAATAATGAAACTTGACTGTGTGTATACATACACACACACACACACACACATACATACACATAAATAATGAGGATACACACACACACGGTCAATTTCTGAGCTTTCTATGTTTCACTGTTTTAATTATTTTAGTTTTATAATACATTTTGGTAAAACTTAATGCAATGTAATATATTTTAATAGTATCTATAGTGTTATGATTCTCCCATGCTCCATCTTAATTTGTTCCTTCAAAAAAGAATAAATCTTTGATACATCTTGTTCCCCATTTATATTTCCAGAAAAACTTAATAATTTTGAAAGGCTTTAAAAAGAACTTGTGTTGTGATTTTTACTGATTATATTAATAAATTAATTTATAAGAAACTCACATCTTTACAACATTGGGTCTAGGAAAATATTGTCTACATTTATTCAAGATTTCTTTCTGGCCCTTGGTTAAGTTTTACAACTTTCTTAACAGAAGTATCATAAATATATTTTTAAATGTTATGTTACATTCACAGTTTTGCAACAAAATTATTTCAATACAAGTGGTCACATATATGAAGTACTTATTTGTGTTTATGTGCTTTCTATGAAGCTATAACTAAACTAAATTTTCAAATATCAATTATTTTTAAATTATTTCAGGGAAAACTGATTATACTCTGTAACAGTAATTCTATTTCTAGGAATTTGTCTGAAGGAAGTGAATTATCCTAAAGAAATGAGTAGAAAATCGTATAAGTATTGCTGAACAAAGATATCAATCATTATAGTGTTATTTACAACAGCAAAAAAAATAGGATAAATTAATTTCTAATAGGCAAATCGAGTTTTAAAACAATATGATTCTTATTTAACTTAAATATACGTGCATATATAATTAACTAGAAGACATATATCAAATTATTAATAGCAGTTATCTTTGGGTGGTCGTATTGTCAGCAATCTTTTATGTTCATCCTAATAACATTTTATGTGCTTCTTCAACAAAAAATTAATACTTTTTTGGACATAAAAATATTATTTAATGCTCTAGATATATTTAGTGAACTCTTAAAAACAATCTATTTGTAATACAGACTTACAATTAATTTACATCTACTATTTTTTAACATCTAGCAAGATGTGGTTAAATATATATATATTCGATTTTAATAAATTCAGACTTTTACATAGTTTAACTCCAAGTTAATAAGCCATCTCTAGCTTAAAATCATTACTCTATAGGTATAGCCTATTAAAATGGAAGTTGCTCACCTCAATATTCCCTATTCCCAGGGATCTCTGAGATCCCTGGATTTAGCTTAACATGTCATTCTATATTTTCCGAAGTCTTCACTAAATGTATCATTCATTTCTTAGTTAAAACCTGGCTTTCCATGGCACTCTATTAAATAGAGGGCCACTTTTCTAACACCCTACCTATCTCAGGGTTAAGAGATAGAAATCATTTTCTTTATTTGCAACAACACCCCTCAAATCTCATTCTTACTCCTTGAAGAATAATACCATCCAGGTTTACCTTGTCTATTCTTGCTATATCTATCAACAACTAGTCAGTGCTTATTTCTGAAGACTTGGAGATTGTTCAGTCTCCAGTTTATAAACCTCTCTGCATTCTTTTACTCTGTAAGTACCCTCTTGTTTAATTTCTTCCTTCTCCATTATCCAAATATATGTCTCTCAAAACTTAAAATCCTGTCCCACTGGCTTCAGCCACATGTGCTTGTTAAAAATCAGTCTCACCTGAATCCAACTGACTATTGGACTCCAAATACCAAATATGAAGACTACATGAAAAAAAAAATCATATACTATTAATTCATGGTTAACAACATCAGTGGGACCCTCAATGCTGCTTCAATATCCCTGGTTTCCCTTCTATCTCTCTACCTACTCCTACTTAGTCTCTTTTGAGGGTTCTTCCTCTGCCAATTCCTTAAATACTGGCATTCCTATGTATTCTGTCCTACATGTCCCACTCTATAAGCTCTCTGTTTGATCTCACTCATTCCAATGGCTTCAATAAATAAATATTACAGAAGGTTCCCAAATCTAGAAATCCACTCTTCTAAAATCCAGACATATGAGTATGTCCAACTCCCTCCCAGATCTCTTTCTAGGTATCTCCATATAGAAGTCATACAACCACTTCCAAGTTACTATGCCCATTATAGAACTCGTTAATATCGCCAACTGTTTTTTTTTCCTGCATAGCTCTATCTTATCTCAGTGAACTGCATTATTACAAAACACTGAATTTTACAAGCCCAAAACCTGGAGTCAATTTGAACTTCTCCACTTTAACCTTGACATACATTTAACAGTTACTATGAATTGTAGTTTGAATTTTTTTCATAATTGATTAGATCTCTACTACATCACTTCCATACCCTAGGTTGTATATAATTCCTAATGCGAATTACTCCAATAATTAGCAAACCAAAACATCCAGTTCTGTCTCCTTTTGAATTATTTTCTACAATCCTTCCAAAATGTATATGTGATCCTGTTTTTATGCATTAGCCATTAAATTCATTAAATTATACCTACCTTAACAACCCAATGAGAAACGTACTATTTATTCACCCCTTGTAAAGGTCACTCACTATTATACTCCATGTTCCTAGCACAGTGCCTGGGACATATTGGGTGCTTAATAAATAAGTCAAATATTCAATTGATATAAATTTCTCCTTCCATCCATGGTAGAATAACACGAAATCAAACAACTACCCCCCTCACACGTGTGCGCATGAGCGCACACACAAGTATTACACGCGCACACACAAAACATATTAAAAGTGGTTTTCAAGACACAGGACATCCATCAATGGATAGTGTTCATGAGAGATGGGGTAAGAAAACGAGGTGAGACCTATTATTGCCCCAACTTCTATTGTTTTGAGATACTTTACAGGCCATGGCACAGGGAGGGGTAAACCAGGAAAAGACCAGCAAAGTCCATGAGTAGACAAGACAGAGCTGAGAGTCCAGTGAGAACAAGGCAACTAGAGTTCATACAGTAAAAATGCCAGAAAAAGAAGAGCTGTAGAGAAAAACCCCAAAATTTTAGCACTAAATGCCTATATTAAGAAAGAAAATGTTCAAATCAATAATATTAGCTACCACCTAAGGAAACTTAGAAAAAGAGCAAAACTAAACCCAAAGTAAGCAGAAGGAAATAATAAATGTCAAAGCAGAAATCTACAAAAGAGAAAAAAGAAAAATGAGGGAAAACCAAAAGCTGGTTCTTTAAGATCAAGAAAACTGGTAAACTTCTAGCCAAACTGATTAGTAAAAATGCATAAACTATAAATAAATATCAAGAATGAGGAAGGCAAAGTCACTGTAGATATTAATAAATAAGAAAATGTTATGAACAACCTTATGCCATAAAATTCTACAACCTTGATCAAATGAACAAATTTCTTGAAGACAAATTAACTAAGATCAGTAAAGAAAAATATTAACTTCAACAGTCTTAAGTTTATTAAAGAAAAGGAAATTGTAGTTTATCTCCCACAAATAAACTCTAGGCCCAATAATTTCACTAGTAAATTCTACCAAATATTTAAGGAAGAACTGATACAATGTACACCAACTGTCACAAGTGTATACATGTCAAAACTTATCAAACTGTATATTTTAAAGATATGCAATTTCTTATATGTCAATTTTATCTCAATAAAGCTGTTTTAAGAGTATTCAACTGATGGAAAGAAGGGCAGGAGGGAGACAAACCAGCCAGAGGCCAAAGAGAAGTAGCAAAAATAAAGGGAAAGGTAACAAATAGAATGAGATCAAAGAAAAATGACAGGTATAAAGTCAGAGGTATAAACAGAGACGCATCAAAGTGCGAAAAGGAATAAAGAACTAAATCTAGAATAGGTGATTAAAAATAGCACTAAAACACAGTAAAAAGTTCGGGAACCATCTGGATATTCGTAATACTATGCCCAATGATTATGTAAGGTTGTACTCTACATTGTGTTTTTTTTAGTTTTTTTAAACTAGAACATCATCAGATCGACAGCACAAAGCTGGCAGAGTAGTTTGGGTAATGCTGTATTTGCAAAGTAAATAAATGTATTATTTAGGAATTACCCCGTTACCTTATAATTTATAAAGAACTGCAAATAAGTACAAATATACTTCCTCATATAGTTACATTTACAGTGTTCCTAATTATCTAAGGAGTAATTTTCAAATACTGTATAGGTTTTTAAAAACTAGAAGACTATAATTGATCTTGCAAAAAAATACTTGGGGGAGAGAGAATCGCAAAATTAAGTATAGTTATAATGAAATAAAATCTCACTGCAAACAGAAGACTCAAGATACCAAAACCTTTAACGCAAAAAGTTAGAAAAATATTGCATTCCATACAAATATACTTGTGAAAAGCTTACCTGTATAGTCGCATTTCACTCAGCTTTATCGTTATCAAATCAATAATAGGTGGAGGGTTGCTCTGGCTCTCTCTTATCATATGGAATGTATTGGTCATTGTAATTAATCCAAAATCAGCAACGAAAACATTTTCAGAAACTGGAGACTGTGGGATGACCACAACTGGGGCTTTGATGTTAACATCTAATGCCAATCTGGAACTCCTTTGTGCCAGTTCTTTTACACCAGTGGCAGCCATTCCTGCTGCCTGAACAGTTGCCTCAGCCAAGGCTTGTTTAACTGCTTGAAAATTATCTATAAAAGCCTATAAGATAACAGAATTACATTCGTCAAGTTACCACTAACGAATAAGACTTATTAAATGTTCATTTATGTTTAAGAATTTACCTCCGTAAGAAAAATTTTTCTTGGCACAACTAAGCATCTGACTATATTAAATCTTAATTTCCTGCAATAAAAATTGAGAAACACAAAGATGCAGATGGAAAAATACAGAAAACAATAAAAATCGAGTCCCTGGAACACAGTAACATGTAGCTACTGTAATCTTTCACTGAAATCTATTTCCTTTATTATCTCACTTTCTCTAATGGCTAAACAATTACATTGTATTTCCCTGTACAGCCTCAATGGACACAGAACTGTTTAACTGTTTATTTATGTTTTTAAGATAAAATATATATGTTTCTTCAAGAACGCTAGTTTTCTAATTTCTGAATTCTGAAAAAAAGTATTCAGTGACATAAAATATACACAGAATTATACTTAATTTTCATATTTAGAATTAAACATTTTATTTTCAATAATTTTTTAGTATAAAGCTAGGTTCAGTGACATACTGCTTCTGAGTTATAAAAACTATGAAAAGCAGAAACAGAATTCAAACACCTTAAGGTGGTGTCATACAGGGAATTAAATCTAAAGCCTGTAACGCCCCAGATAGTTACAGAATTTAAAAACAATAAAAAATATAATTTTCATGATACCCTTAAACAAAAACAAATTTCAATTATATATTTAGTATTTTTAGAGTTGGAACTCAGGTAAAACAAAAACTTAAACCAATGTATAAAATAAAAAATTCAATTAATATATAACATATATTATACATGATAATGTATAATTTAATATGTTAACATAAAATATATATTTCAATTAACTGGATAGTCCCATGTGAAAATAATGTTACATAAAGTGCTATACATTTCAGTAATAATAAGTGGTGTCCTCCAAATTATGAAAAATCGGAAAAAAAATCCAACTAGAAATTGTTTGATGCACAGCAATTTCCAACTAGCAGAGAAGAATAAAAAAATTGATTAACATACTTACCAAGATAGAATATAGAAATTTTGTGACAAAAACTACTTCAATGCAACCAACAGTTAAATTAACCTGAAGGTCAACAACATTCATATCTGTGTATGCAGAACCAGCAGTTGCATCCACATAAGAAATCATTTTGAAGCTGAAAACTTCTTTTCCAGTGATATAAACAGCCTTAATGAGAAAAAATGCAACTGTCAAAACACATTTTGAAACAATGTGTCTTCAGTAGAAAAACAAAGCAGTACACACATATTTGGAAAATCTTCTGTGTATTCAAGCCAAGTACAAATAAGGCAACAGTTCTAACTCCTTTATTAGAATCTACATTGGAGGTTTTTCAAATTCGTGGTGGCAGCTCCCTTTGTGGACCGTGAAATCAGTTTAGTATGTCTGGCCCACATTTTTTTTTTAATGGGGAGCACAGAAGAAAAATTATCAGAATATACATTTTAATTTAGTGTTTACTTGTGTACTGAGAATTGCCATATCAACGTACTTTCTGGTCACTATCAAAACTTTGAAAAACAAGGTACCTTTACAACTTAATGAAATGTACTTCTCTTGACTTAAGTTACATGAATAGATTTTTCTAGATTCGTCAAAGGAGTCTTCTGTCACTGTATTTCTGTTCCTTACTTGTTTGTGAAGTTATATCAATTGCAAACCAATAGTTACCTACAGCAGATTAAAATTACAAGTTCTGCAATATCAGTTTAAAATGGTGGAGCCAACAGCAGATGTGAAATATTAAAAAAAAAAATTGGAAAATGGACAGAGCACTAACTAACTTAGTTTATAGCTTGCTTGCCCCTCCTAAATGCTAGAAGCATGGCATGGGCTGAAAGCCATCAACAAGCAAAAAAATCCTCAGGAACCAAAGATATGAAGGACCTCTGAAGGCTAAGGTGTGAGGCTGAAAAGAAATCTATAGGAGTTCTGCTTCTGTCTCAGGCACAGAATGATGGAGAGGGAGCCATTCCAAACTGTAACCAGATAAACTGTAAAATTTTAACTTTTCTTAAAACAATTAGAAACCTGAGATCATAAGTCAACCAAGCAGCCTAAAATCAAACCAAAAAAAAAAAAAGGACCTTCAAGAGAGAACATAAGCAGTGGCTAACCTGTGGTAATGGGCAGGAAAAAGAGATGGCTGGTATCATTCAAGCTAGGTCAGAAGAGTTCAGCTAAAACGGTAAAGGCTGACTACAGACTAATGTGAGATGCAGACTCCCTGGAGCCACAGACACCAGAGTAGTTCACAGTCAGCTGCAAGCACTTCACTGGGAGCTCTATGCTGTGAGGTCATGAGAAAGAGGGGGCAGAGTAGAAGACCAGAGAATGCTTTCTTGGTATAATCCTGGAAGAGGTGAGTAACCTCCACTGCAAAAAAGCCCCAAAGTACCACCAGGATTATTCCCCTCTCAGAACAAAAGCCTTAAGAAACTGGGGGAAAGGCAGTAACCTTGCGCCCTCAGGGCACAGGTAATAAAGATATTGTACTTGGGGCAAATATAAAAGAAAACTCCCTTTATAGCTGGGGGAAAAAACCCTCCTGGGACCAGGTCAACATAGGTCACCTTCTGCTGGGGCAGGGAAAGATAGTCTCTCCCACACAGGAAGCATGAGAAATTATGTACAAAGGAATAAAGATATATCACAGACTTTTCAATAAAACCATGTATAACCAGGAACAATGGAATCACCTCTTTGACAGTTTGAAAGAGCAAAAAAAAAGCCCTATCAACCCAGAATTCTACACCCAGCAAAAATATCACTCAGAAAATGAAGGTAAAATGAAGGTGAAATAAAAGTTATATAAGTTTTTCTTTCCAGCTCCCAATCCTTCTTTTCCCCACAAAGGTGCTCCTGATTCAAAGATAAATAAACCAATGGAACAAAACAGAACTCAGCAACAAATCTATTCACAAATCTACATCTAATAGATACAGGACTGTAGACAAGTGAGAAAAGGAGAGCTATTTCAATAAATAGTACTAGGAAATTCAGTGTGAAAAAATAAAATTGGACCCCAGCCTCAATCATATAAAAAGCAATTCCAAGTAGGATGGAAGACCTAAAGGTGAAAGACAAAATTATATAATTTTCAGAAGACCATGTAGGGTAATACCTTTTTGAATTCAAGGAATGGAATGGTTTAGAAAACACAATATCCTCAAACTAAAAAGGGAAGGGACAATAAATTAACTTTTATTAAAATTAAGAACTTTTTGTTCATCAAAAGACACCATAATGAGACAATAATAACTAATCTGGAGTAACTATTTGAAACATATATAAACAAATCAAGAATAATATACAGAATATTAAATGATTCCTACAAACCCATAAGGACAAAATAACATCCCTTCCCCTAAAATTGATAAATTAAACCAGGGGTCAGCAAACTACAACCAGTAGGATTAGGCAAGAATTTTTTCACACTTTAAAGTAGTCGAAAGCTATCAAAGGGAGAATATTTTGTGACATATCCAAATTATATGAAATTTACATTTTATTATCCAATAAAATAAAATTTTACTGGAACATATCCAAGTCTATTTACATATGATGTATGGCTGCTTTCACACTACAGTAGCAGAGCAGAATAGCTGCAATAAAAACTGCGAACCCACAATGTCTATAATATTTGCAATCTGGCTATTTACAGAAAAAGTATGCTAACACCTAAGTTAAACTAACAAGTATTTGTAGAAGTTCAAGCATAAATAGCCCATAAATATATGAAAAGATGTGCAATTTCATCGGTTAAGAAAAATACAAACTGAAACACCATATTATATACTCCAGATTCTCAAAATATTTAATGTCTTCTATTTCCAAGCATTGACATTGAAGTAAAACACCAAATCTCTCTTCCACTGCTCCTGGATGTATATATGCCACTAAAAACAGATTTCTCTGAAAACACTTGTATGAGATATGTAAAAGAATATACCAGGAGACATGTACAAGACCAGTTAAAGCAACAATGTTCACAAAAGCAAAAATGTAGAAACAATGCAAAAATCCATCAATAGAACAATGAATAAATAACCCGTGGTATAGTCATATAATTTGTATTACTACAGTACCTACACACATCAACATGGATACTCTCAAAAATATAATGAATGAAAAAGGCAAGCTCAAATAAATACATAAAATGTGATGCCTTTAAAAAAGGGGGGGGTGCAAAATGAATCCTTATTATTTAAGGATTCGTACATAATTGGTAAAATGTATTAAAAACACAAAAATCAGGACATAGTTAACTGTGAGGAGACTGACTGTAGGATGCTATTCAGGTTAGGCCATATTGCTGATTTCGGAAGTTATGTTCTCTTATTAGGCTTGAGAGTTGGGTATAAAGGTCTTTGTTTTACTGTTGTACTTAAATTACATTACATGCTTTCGCATATATGCTATATTAAAAAATACAATATATGTTTTCAAAGCACAACAAAATTGGGCAATATATTTTAAGGATACAAACTTATGTAGTTAAAAACTATAATAAAGAGCAAGGAGGAAAAAAGGACATAAAATGTATATATTACACTATCTCAATTTTTAATAAAAATGTAAATTATAGAAACAAAACCACATATGTGCAACAAATTCCAAAAAAAATACACATTACCAATCTGACTGAAGAAAATCTGATTAAACCTGTTATCATGTAAAGAAATGGAATAGTAATTAAAAGGCTTTCCCCAAAGAAAACCTCAAGGCCAAATAGCTTCATTGGTAAATTCCATCAAACCCGTAAGGAAAAAATAATGCTGTTTTTACACAAATAATTCAGAAAATAGAGGAGGAGGAAACATTTCCAAATTCATTTTATGAACCAGTATTAGACGGATACTAAAGCCAAAAAACTAGAGAATAGTTAGAAATACTTGTGTACCTACCACCCAGAATTAACAAGCATTATAGTAACTAAATGATTTTCTAAAAAACATTCATTTTAAAACACCTTTCTATAATGAAGATATAAAAAACTACTATCCAGTGATACTTTGCTTCATAAGAACGTCAGTCAGGTCAGCTGGAATCTTTTTCAGTTATGGCACACAGGAATAACAGTCGCTGAACAATGGTACGAGGGCAAAGGGAGGATGCCACTCCAGGACAGAGTCAAACAGCCCGAGGACTCCAGGAGTCCTTTACCTGAATGCCCAGAAAACTGAAGGACACAGTACTTTGTTATACCTAAACCCATTCAGGGCATAATACAGTGTCATGGCACAATGACTAGGACTCCCTGATGTTGTGCAGAAAGCACATCTCCCTGGTTCCTTGACATATGGGGAGCTACAAAACAAGGCAGTTTGTTTAAAAATCATGTGCACTGGAATCAAAGTCAAGGAATAAGGAGAGGAAAATAGGGGTGGGCAAGAAGACAGAAGTGAGGAACTTCTCATTTGGTAGCTTTTGGTTAAGTCGGATTTTTAACCTGACAGATGCATTAAAAATAAAATTACAGAGAAATTCTAAATGGTTTGAGTTATATCGGTTCCATTACTGACTACTTGTATGATTTTTAGTAGATGCATTTATTTATGTGAGCTTTACTTTCTAGATGCAGCAAATGAAATGGACTCTGCTTCTTCAATGTGCTAATACTATGATTTTCTTTAAACAAAAGCAGTAGAAGCTAACCAAACTATGGATTCTGAAAAACTTCTTGTTCCTCATTTCTATGAGTCATGAACCTTTGCTGTTTTGGGACTCATTATCTCACACTAGCAAGTTATAATCAGAAAACATAAGGAATGAGGATATTCATTTAACATAAAAATCAGGTCATCAGGGCCGGCCGAGTGGCGCGATGGTTAAGAACTCGCTTGGGATGCCAGAGGGCCCCGGTTCGGATCCCACATATGAGGGCCAGTGACACTGCCCTCTACAGCTAAGATGCTGAACAACGGCTCAACCTGGAGCTGGGCTGCTGTGAGTCGCCGGCGACAGCGTGGGCTGCAGTCCCTGTGGCAGTGGGTTGCCATGGGCTACCGTGTGTAGCCAGCAGCCAGCGTGAGCGGCCAGCAGCCGCAGTGAGCGGCCGTCCAGAAGCCAGCGACTGATCTGCCTCACCCGGGAAGAGCGCAATGATGGTGCCAACTTGGGCCAGTGAAGCAACATCCTCCACAACTAGACTGAAGAACAAAATGACAGCAACTTGTCTGTCCCCCTTCCCCCAATTCCCCAGCACTGTTCCCATCCCCCCAATTCACCAAAAAAAATCTTTAAAAAAAAAAAAAAATCAGGTCATCAGTATTACTGGCTAAGCCTATTCATCTATGTCCTTTCTTCCTGTCACTCCAAACTCTGACTTCCTAACTCAAGTACCTCAGCCTTTTCTGATCCTACTATTATTTGACACTCTCTTCACTACCTTAAATATACCATCTTACCTAGATACTCCTATGTTCAAAAACTACCTGTCCAACTACACAACAGTATCTAGTCTAAGAATCTTACTACCTTACACCCAGTAACAAAATACCTATCCTTGAACCACTAGCCAGAGTTCAAAGGACTCTCTTAACACTATTAACTGTTACACTAGTAAGCATCCATGAAAATAAACTTTAAAAAAACCCTCATTTACCAATCTGACTTCAGACCCTTTGCTGTTGAAATCTAAAATGAATTACAAGGTTCATAGTATTTGAAGAAAAGGAAAAAGTGAAAAAGGCATTTACCAGTCCCTCATCTCCATAGTCACTCCACTTCCCCACAACTATGTTCCCCAGAGTATTATTACACACTTACCTCTTTTACAAAACACTTAATCCTCATTTTATATATAAGGAAACTGAATCCGAGATTAGGTCACACAGCTGCTAAGGGGCAGAGCTAAAATAAGAATCGAATTATGTGTAACTCCAAAGCCCAAGGACATAATAAGCCATACTACTAAAATCCAACAACTGTCTAATTTATACCTATGGTTAATCTTAAAGGACATAGTTAGTGATGTACTATTAATAGAAATAAATTCATACCTTTTTGTATACAGCAGTTACATCAGTATCCAAAACAATTATATTCCTTAGCTTTGCATTTATTTCAGTTACTGAAGGCCTCACAATCATCTCAGAATCAAGACCTAAGGGAATAAAAGAAATGGTAAATGCCTGCTTTCATTTAAGAGTTCTTAAATTATTTTTTCTGAAATTTTATTACCTTCAATCTTAATTTCAGAAATGTTACGTTTCTGATCTTGAATAAAGATCTGCAAACATGATAATTCTGCTAAAATCTGCAAGGTAATAGTATCTTCTTCATTCCTGGATCGTTTTGAAGCTGCAAAAAAATCATATTGTAAACAAGGAAAAACTTGTAGTAGCTACCTCACTACACTTACCAAGTAAATGAGATATCACAACAAATAATGATAAGAACTGATTTGCAATTCAATTGAAAACAAGCAAGTTATCCTCCTAATAAATTAGGAATTCCAAAAACAATCAAATCTAACAAAAGCCAAACAAAAGCAAACAATAGACAAAATAAAAAATGGCACCTACTGGAGGCTAACATTTGAAACTAAGACAGTGTACTCATAAAATATAAATTTTTTTGCGAGTCAAATATTACTTGGTGATACTTGTCATTATTGAACTTGTAACTGTTCAGCTTCAAAAGTACTCTAATTTTAAAAAAGTACTCTAATAGTCACATTTTGTTAATTCTATTTTTCTAATCTAATGATACTAAATACATAAATTTTAATTTAAATCAAATACTTCTATTGTACAGTCTTCAACTAAAAAGAATATGATAAATAAAAGCCACATTTTCTTCATCAGTAATCATTTTCTTTTACCATTATTTTTAAAAATTAACCTGGAATCTAAGGCATCTTTCTAGATTTTAATCTAGGCAATAAATTCTGAGACAATATTATTTATTAATCTACTTGGTAAAGAAAATTTGAGATTGAATTTTAAAGAAACATACCTATTTTTTTAATGACCTCTCCTTTGTCTTCAGTCTCTGGAACATACACTGAGGCTGATTTTCCCTCCAATTGTGTAATGATAGTATTAAAATAATTTAGTGTATTCAGAAGTGCTTCAGTATGCAAATGAATATCCAAAGAGGAAAAATTTACCTAAGAAACAAAGTTGTTTTTAGTAATAGGTCAATAAATATTTGTTTGCCTGCTCTGTATAAGGCATCAGACTTTGTGGAACAAAGGATACAATTTATAATATTCCATTTTTATCCTAAAGATTCTTCCAGCTCTAGTTATAAAATAATTTTCATAACATATTTACTTAGAAATATAGTATCTAATTAAAAACCAAATTATTATTCACTCATACCTTAACCAGTTGTGCAACATTGTTATAGGTACTTTTCAAGTCAGGTATATTCTTTTCAGCCTATCCGAAGAGAAAAAAATCTGTTAGAATATCTTAAAAAGACATATGTATATGCCATTATATAATGGTCCTAATAAACATTTATAGAAAATTTCCAGCTAGTTAGCTAGCTAGCTATCAATCAATCATTACCTAAACAAACAACTGCTTCAACAGAACAAAAAAATATGGTAAGTATAGGACTCTCTGGCACATAGTAAGTATTCAATAAATATTACATATTATCTTTCATGATCAAGGATGGAAAACTAAATACTATCAAGTGTGGAGAACAATCGTTCAGTCATCAACAACTCTGTAGAGTACTTCCTAATTCCTCCTGTATGTGAAAACAAAATTTGTGACAGAAATGTGTACCAAGTATCTAAATACTCCATGTTATCTTTAGATCTAGAACACTTTTGTAATATTAAAGCTATTTAATGCATGAACAATAAAACTCCAAAATAGCTACATCAATAATAGTAAAAATTTTCTTCAAAGTGATAAAATGTTCTTTCAGCATTCTTACCATGAAGTAATTATTAAAATAATGTGGCACTTACATAAAAACAGGTCAATGAAAACATGGAATAAATTATAAATATACCATAGTCTACATAAAAACTTAATAAATGATAAAATAAGTATAATAAATCAACAGGAAAGGAACGACACCAAGAAAATTAGGTAACTTCAGACAATCATAGGAAATCAAGTGAAAGCTTCATCTTGTATCATATACCACAATAAGTAGGATCAAGATTAAAGAGTTGGTCTTTTTGATATCCTGATGGGGAAAAAAAACTGCAGGTCATTCCTGATTAGAATATAGGCTTTTTATTTTGCTTCTATGTTAGAGGACAACAAAACAAAAAAATCTTTAAGTTTTAGGAATTATAGAGATCACATTAGAATCAAGATTAAACTGAATATTACTCAATTTAAAAAACTTGATTATAACATTTCAGCACTATACTTACCATATAGCAAGCAACTGCTTACCTTCACATATTCCAGTGTTAACAGATCTTCCATTGTGTTATCCAGCGTGGTAATCAAATAAACTGGCTTCTTGTTTTCATCTAAAAATAATTTTTTAAATTATTCCTTCATAGGAAAACTAACTGAAAATAAATGCAGGCAATATTAACAAATATAAACTTAAAAAAAGGCTTTCCTGTATCAGCTCTGAGATTTGGATACTGTCTTACCCAGGTCAGGTCCATCGTCCTTTATTTTAAACTGTAAAAATATAACTTCTCCTCACAATTACTTTCTCTTCTCTTATGCCAAAAACTAAAAACTCTTACCCTTCCAAACCTAGATAGGAGGTAAGGTTAAAGTAAAAACAGTAGCCATCAGTTAAAGAAAAAACAGAACAGATAATGCTTAACAGGAACAATGAAAAGAGAATTCTGGCCCTGAGCCATAGAAACCGTTATAAAGAAAATCAGACTCCCTGAAAACCTAATTGTTCAGAAGACATCAGGTATGTGATAAGAAACTAAGTTTTCCTGTATATTAATTTAGATTAAAATAAACCCTATTACCAAATAATCAGTCTTTACTATTTGTATTATTGCTTCTGCTCAAAACCTAAGAAAGTGAGTACAAAACTGCTGTAGAAGAGTATTTCATACAAAGCCCTTAAAACTATCACCACAAAATTACTTATGGCAGCTAGAAATTAACATGTAGATACTGGAAGAAAGGAATAAACCAATCATATTACTCTTGAGGAAAAAATGCAACATATTCAACAGAATCCTCCAAATTTAAAAACTTATTAGTACTTAAGCCAGCCTTCTACTGCAAGTGCTACTTACATTTCAACCCTTAAGGAGGTCCCCACTTTTCTTACACATTTTTTCATTCATTGAACAACTATTTACTGATCATATACTTTGTGTATGATCTGCTATTCACTTCTTCCCACTTCCTCTAAGAAATGGAAGCAAAAGTATTACAAAAATAGAGGTAGTGATAAATGTATATCCTGTATTCTGTGTGCAAGGGTTTTCTTATCCTTTTCTTTTGGGAAATCAAACAAAAGTAAACATAAAAATTAACAACTGGTATAATACTTCTGGATTACTGGAGAACACTGTCAAGTTGGTTCACCTATCATTCCAATTACCAGAGCAAACTGTATCTTGATGTAAAAAGAATAAAACAAAACTCTGCGTCTGCTATGTATGATGTTTTTCTCCTCAGCAAGAGATAACACAATCCACCACACTCAAGTTCTCAAGGGCTACAGAAGAAATGTAGCATATAAAACTAAAATGTATAAATCATATTAAACGACTGAGCTTTCGTGCTGCAATACTTAATTTGCTCTCCAAAATGCAAATATCACATTTAATCCAGGGCTCTAAAAAGAGGGAAGTTTTCATGATACTAAATGACACCTTTGCCTGGGAATGAGTTCCCAGATAAAATGGCTTTCTTAAATCCTTGACATATATACAAGCATATCCACTATCTTTCTTAATTCCCACAGGTAGACGTTAGGATTTAAATTTTTACTTAAAGTTCTGTAATTCCCTTATTTCAGTATCTCAAATTACCAGGGGATAAAAATTCCTAAATGAGTTCAAAGTATTTCACAGGATAGTTTCAATTTAAAATTTGAATAATTTATAAACATTAAAAAGTCAACCATCAAAAGAACATTGAATTCTAGCATGGCCAAAAGTAAAGAATTTTTATACACATGTGAGCACAACACATGTATGCAGTCTCAAAAATAAAGTTAAAGGACTACTACCTTCAATTTCTTAAAAAAAAAAAATTAAATTATACCAATAATCTCTTTAAACATCAAAGGACTAAATCCATCAATTAAAAGACAGATATTACCAGAGTGAATCAAAAAAACAAGATTCAACTATATATTTTCTATAAGAAACCAACTTTATTTTTTTAACGTGATCAACTGAATTTTTTTATTTAAGTATAGTTGGTATACAATATTATACTGTTTATATTATTTCTACTAGTTTCAGGTGTACAATATAGACTGGACATCTGTATACCTTATAATGTGATCACTAATTCTAGTCATCATTTGTCACTGTGCAAACTTCCGAAATATTACTGACTATATTTCCCTTCACCTTTTTAGCTATCCCTCCAACTGCTTCCCCTCTGGCAATCATCTCTTTGGTCTATTTCTATTAGTATGGTTTTGTTTTGTTTGTTGTTTTAGATTCCACATATAAGTAAAACCATACAGTATTTGTCTTTTCCTATCTGACTTACTTCACTTACTATAATACACTCTGGGCCCATCCATGTTGTAGCAAATGGCAAAATTTAATTCTTTTTTATTGCTGCATAATATTCGTGTGTGTGTGTGTGTGTGTGTGTGTGTGTACCACATATTCTTCATCCATTCATCTATTGATGGACACGTAGGTTACTTCCATATCTTGAGTATTATAAATAATGCTGCAGTGAACATGGTGGTGCAGATATCTTTTCAGGTTAGTGTTTTCATTTTCTTTGGATAAATATCCAGAAATGGAATTGCTAGATCATATGGTGGTTCTACTTCTAATTTTTTGAGAACCCTCTATACTATTTTCCATAATTGTGGCATCAATTTAAATTCCCACCAACAGTACACAAGGGTTCCTTCTCTTTTCCCTTTTCTCCACACCCTCACCAATTCTTATTTCTTGTCTTTTTAATAACAGCCATTCTAACAGGCGTGAGGCAATCTCATTGAGATTTTAATTTCAATTTTGCTGATGATTAGTGATGTTAAACATCTTTTCTTGTATTTGTTGACCATCTGTATATCTTCTTTGGGAAAATGTCTATTCAGATCCTCTACCCATTTTTAACTACATTGTTTAGTTTTTGCTACTGAGTTATATGAGCTCTTTTTATATTTTGGATACTAAACCCTTATTAGATTATGAATAGCAAATATTTTCTCACATTCAATAGGTTGCCTTTTCATTTCTGCTGCTGTGCAGAAGATTTTTAGTTTGATGTAGTCCCACTGGGCTATTTTTGGTTGTTACTTTTGTTTTTGGAGTCAGATTCAAAAAATCATCATCAAGACCAATGTCAAGGAGTTTTCTTCTGGAAGTTTTATGGTTTTAGGTCTCACATTCAAGTTGTTAGTCCACTTTGAGTTAAATTTTATGTATGGTATAAGATAGTGGTCCGATTGCATTCTTTTGCATGTGTGTGTTCAGTTTCCCAACACCACTTATTGAAGAAACTATTTTACCCATGTGTATTCTTGACGCCTTTATGATAAGTTAATTGACCATAGATGCTTCGGTTTATTTCTGAGCTCTCTACTATGTTCCATTGACCTAGATGACAGTACCATGCTGTTTTGACTTCTATGGCTTTATAGCCTAGTTTGAAATCAGGGAGCGTTATGCCTCCAATTTTGTTCTTCTTCCTCAAGACTACTTTGGCTAATTGGGGTCTTTTGTGGTTCCATACAAATTTAGGATTGTTCTTTCTAATTCTGTGAAAAATGCCACTGGAATTTTCATAGGGATTGCACTGAATCTGTAGATAGCTCCAGGTAGTATGAACATTTTAATAATATTAATTATTCCAATCCATGAGATAAACCATGTAATATCTATTTGTGTCTTCTTCAATTTCTTTTCACCAATGTCTCAATTCTCAGTGTACAACTCTTTCACCTCCTTGGTTACATTTATTCCTAGGTATTTTATTCTTTTGATGCAATTGTAAATGGGACTTTTTTCTTAATTTCACTTTATGGTATTCTTTGTTAATGTATAGAAACACAACAGATTTTTGTTTATTGATTTTGAATCCTTCAATTTTACTGAATTTGCTAGTTCTAAAGGTTTTGGTAGAGACTTTAGGGGTTTCTATATAGAATATCACATGTCATCTGCAAATAGTGACAGTTTTTATACTAGGTCAATGAAGAAATCAAAAGAGAAATAAAAAATCCCTTGAAACAAATAAAAGTGGAAATGGAACATATCAAAATGTATGGGATGTAGCAAAAGCAGTTCTAAAAGGGAAGTTCACAGTGATAAACACCTACCTCAAGGAAAAAGATAAATCTCAAATATGCAACCCAACTTTACACCTCACAGAACCAGAAAAAGAAGAACAAATGAAACCCAAAATCAGTAGAATGAAGGAAATAACAAAGATCAAACCAGAAATAAATGGAGAATAAAAAAGATAGTAGAAAAGATCAATAAAACTAACAGCTGGTTTTTTGAAAAAGTAAAAATGAGCTTTAGCTAACCTGTCTCAAGAGAAAAAAAGTCTCAAATAAATAAAATCAGAAATGAAAGAGATGTTATAACAGAACCACATAAATACAAAAGATCATGAGACTACTATAAATAAATATAGGCCACCAAATTGGGCACCTAGAAGAAATACATAAATATCTAGAAACATATAACCTTCTAAGACTGAATCATCAAGAAATCGAAAATCTGAGAAACCAATTACTAGTAAGGAGATTCAATCAGTAATAAAAAAACCTCCCAAAAACAAAATTCCAGGACCAGATGACTTCACTGGTAAAATCTACAAAACATCAAAAAACAATTAATACCAAATACTTTTCAAACTCTTCTAAAAAAACAGAAGAGGAAACACTTTCAAACTCATTTTAAGGGGCCAACATTACCCTGATTCTAAAACCACACAAGCACTCAACAAGGAAAGAAAATTATAGGTATTATACCTGATGAAAAACCCTCACCAATATATTAGTAAAGTGAATTCAACAATACATTAAAAGGATCATACAATATAATCAAGTAGGATTTATTCCAAACATGTAAAGATGGAGCAATATCTGCAAATCAATAGATGTGATCCACTACATTAACAAAATGAACTATAAAAACCATATGAACATCTAAACAAGTATAGAAAAACATATGACAAAATTCAACATCCATTTATGGTAAAAACTCTCAGCAAAGTGATTATAGAGAAAACATACCTCAACATAATAATTGCCTTATATGACAAGGCCACAGTTAACATTATACTCAATAGTGAAAAGCTGAAAGTTTTTCCTCTAAGATCAGGAACAAGATAAGAATTCCCACTCTCACCACTTTTATTGAAAATGGTATTAGAAGTCCTCACCAGAGCAGTTGGTAAAGAAAAAGAAAAGGTATACAAATTGGAAATGAATAGTTTGTCTTGATCATTTCATCAACCATTCAGAATTATCTTTCAAGGAAAAAGCCAAAATATATAAAGATTGATATGAATAATACCCTCCTAAATACCTAACACAGCAAATGGAAATATTTTTCTAAGGTATCATATAACTTATCCTTTATGATTCTAGGACATAAAGTATTTGTGGTAGGCAGAATAATGCAACTTTCCCCCTCCCCCAAGGATGTCCATGCTCTAATCCCCCCAAATTTGAAAATACGTTATTTCATATGGTCAAATGGACTTTGCAGAGGTAGTTATGGTTAAGGGGAAATTATCCTGGATTGTCCGGATATGCCCAATCTAATCACCTTAGTTTTTAAGAGTGGAAGCAAAAGGCAAAAGAAGAGGTTAGAGAGATGACAGGTTTAAATGAATCTAACATGCTGTGCTTGTTTTGAGATATAGGGGACTGTGTGTAAGAACCCAGATTCCTCTAGGAGATAAGAGTAGCCCTCGCCTAATAGTCATCAAGGAAACAGACTTAAACCACATGGAACTGAATTCTGTCAATACCTGAGTGACCAAGGAAATGAATCTTCCCCTAGAAGCTCCAAAAAGGAACTACTCTTGACACCTTGATTTATGCCTGTTGAGACTTATGTCAGACTGTGAGCTAAAGAAATTTAAGACAACAAATATGTCTTGTTTTAAGACACTAAGTTTGTGGTACAATGTTACAGTAGTAATAGGAAACAAATTCAGTGTTTTAGTATTCAGTTAAGTAGATTTAAAATTAAACCATGTCTATTTCTTTTTCCTTAATGAAAAAAAAAATCACCTTTCTTTTCTACCTGGTCTACCTAGATTCCCAAGTATAAAAGTTAAAGACTAACTCATAATATTTTTCTGTGAATGTTTTAGCAAAAATACTTATTTAAAGCCTAGAGAACTAAAAAATTTACAGTAGGTATTCAAAGAATAAAATTATTTATGTAAAAACCAGGTTCTTACCTAAGTATTCTGGGCATTTTAAGCAGAATTCTTTCAAAAAGGCAGTGGCTTTCAAATCAAATGTTCTAAGCTCAATTTCTGTGCCCAATCCTAAGACATCAATTTCTACCACAGGTAGTTCACAATCTCCAACAAGGTGACAAAACTGAATCAATACCTGGAGAAGAAAGAAAAAAAAAATATCACTACCTAGATAAAAAATTGCTCACATAGATGATGGTTATATATGGATATATGAGGTACACAAAAGATACGTTTTAAAATTTAGGAAAGGTTTTATAAGCACACAAACATACAATACACACATCACACAAATAATTATTTTAATAAATTGTATTAAATAATCACTGTATGTCAACTAACCCCCCCCCTTTTTTTTATTTTTTTGTTTAGCTGAGCCATTCTGCTACCTGTTGGCAGCTCAGCAGCAACTCAGGTCAGGCTGGGAATTGAACCAGTGACCCTGTTGCTCAGAGCTCGCACTCTTGAGCGAGCTCTTAACCAACTGAGCCACTTGGCTGGCCCTAAATCCCTAATTCTAGATTAAAGAAATTAATCTTCAAAGAAAAGGGAGGGAGAACCACACAATAATGTGTGGATTCAGGGCCAGCCGAATGGCGCGTTGGTTGGGAGCTGGCTTGGGACACTGGAGGGCCACGGTTCAGATCCTGCATGTGAGGGCTGGTGGCACTGCCCCTGTAGCTGAGATGCTGAGCAACAGGTCGACCTGGAGATGGGCTGCCATGAGTCGCCAGCGACGGCATACGCTGCAGCCCCTGCTGCTGTGGGTTGCCATGGGCTACCGTGGGTAGCCAGCAACAAGCGTGAGCGGCTGTCCAGAAGCCAGCGACTGATCTGCCTCGCCCGGGAAGAGCACAATGATGGTGCCAACTTGGGCCAGTGGGGCGGCATCCTCCACAACTAGACTGAGGAACAGGGGGACGGCAGCTTGTCTGTTCCCCTTCCCCCATTTCCCCAGCGTTGTTCCTATCCCCCAGTTCCCCAACAGGGATCTTAAAAAAAAAAAAAAAAAAAAGTCTGGATTCAGCTTAAACAGGATAAAAGCAACAGTGCTTATAAGTAATAAGATGATGTAAATAAGTGGTGAATAGTGGTAATATACAATTTAAATAAGCCATATCAATTTTACAATGGTACATACCTCTGGCACTTCAAATCTTATTTTATACTGAATAATATTTTTTGAATAATCCAGCTTTTGAGACTTTTTTTGTTGAGAACTTTTAACACTAGCTGTTGTAGAATAAGTTTCTTCCAACGGACTACATGGTGCATCATAAAATTCCTCCTCTGAATCTAAATATCATAAGACATTATTTAAGTCAATAATCAAAATGACTTACTTAGGAACACTTTTATTACTTTTCTGAAATAAATATGAACACTAAAGCAGTAAGAAAGGTCTATTTCAAAAATTGAATGTAAAAAGGAGAAAATAAATTTTAAGAAATACAGAGATTATGTCTGAACAAAGAACATTCTTGATGACAAAAAATACTGAAAATTACAAAATGCAATCTTAAGCTTAATAAACGTAACCTTTGAAAATCATTAGTCTATCTAAAAATTGCTAAAGAAAATGTTATAGCAAATGACAATGCCAATGATTAACACATCACTAATACTCAAAGGACACACTAATGTGCTCATTCTACCTAGATAGCAAAGCAGCACTTAATTAGAAACTCTGAAATATTAAAAACAGAAAACAAGTCCTTAAGTCTGAATGAAGAAACTGGACAAAGCACTACTATTGGGTTGTTGGAAAAGTCATGACGTATTTTTTTCCACGTTTTTCATTGCAAAAATGAGTCATGCCTTTTCCGACAACCCAATAAATATATATATACGTATATAAACATATATATATATATAACAAATTTCTAGAATGTGCAATAAAAAAGAAACCAAAACTAGTAAAACCATTACAAGAAGGTTAGAAGGAAACCTAAACCAGCCGAAGTTATCTCTAATAACCTAAGACTGAATTTAGGGTAGATGATCTCACAAGCAAGATCTCCTCTCTTCCCTCGCCTCCCTGGTCGCCACACACAAAGGAAAACATTCTCTAGGAAAACTGAGAATCACCATGGAAATTTCTGTTATTTAACATTTAGCCAATTAAAAGTCTTACAAATTGAAAAACACATTTATTTTTTCTTTACAATGTGGCCAAGAAAAAGCACCTGTTTGATATAAAAATATTTACCAGTTTTCATGTGTAAATGTACTAATTAAGGCTTGATTTTATTCTTTTAATAAAAAGGAAAATGTAAAAAGTAAAAAAAAAAAAACTTACGATACAAAAAATTCTCCGAATAACTAAATAACACATTATGAGTTAGTCATCTACAAAATTTCATGGGGTCTCAGCTCACAGGAGGATTAAATTACTAGTGCTCCTTATGTACCAAAAAAAATCCCACTGCAAACGCAACTTTAAGAAACATCCAAATTACACTGTTTCAATGGAATTTTAGTGAAATTTCTGGAAATACAAATATATGCTATTGCCTGAAGTTTTTAACACGGTTTAAAAATCAAAATTATTTCCATAAGATATTTTTATAATAAGGAAAATTTCCTAACGCAGTTTCATTTTACCATCTTCAACACATGGAAGTTCCAAGAGAGGAAACATTTTCTGCGAAACATGTGATGCTCCCAAAGAAGAGGATCTTTGAATCTGGAAGAAAAGTAATTCACTGTTAATTAGCACAAAGACTTTTATTCAATGTTCTAAGACAACTTTGACCAAAAACATACACACACAACCCCAATTTGAATTAAGTGAAAGAAATCCAGTCTGAATTAGAAAAGTAAATTATAAAATGTATATTTAATGAAATGATTTTTACAATTTCAAGGCTAAATATAAATTGTAGAACTACTCTAATAATTTCCTTGACGACAGGCTTTGAGTAGAAAAAGATCTTAGATATACCTAAACTCAAATGTCTTAGAAACAAAGGACATCCATGAAAAACAACCCAACGTCTCAATATTTAAAGCCTCTAGAATTGAGGAGCTTGTAGTTTTATTTTTGATTTTTTGCAAGATATTTCAGTAAATTTATTTTACTGTTCTTGGAAATATAGCATACAAAATATATAATGCAGTATGAAAACATAATAAAGGACACACCTAAATTTTCCACCTAGGCCAAGAAATAAAATATACCCTTACCTAGAAGCACCTTATAGGCTCCTCCTTGATTGTATTCCCTACCACTAATTATAATCTTGCTTCCATTTACTTTTTTTTTAACCTCCTATGAATGATTCTTCAAGTAATGCATTTTTTCTATACTGTCGAAAAAGGCAATAGTGCATGTTTTGCTGTGACATTATTCTATAAAACAATCTTTAAATTTTATCTATATCGATAATTTACTAATTCTCACTGCTATATTCTATTCCACTGATAAGTAAACCACTGCTTATTTGTCTACTACGCTGCTGATAAACATTTGTAATGTTCACAGATTTTTGCTTTTACTCACAGTGACACTACAACCATCCTTGAACCTTCCTCCAGGTAGGTACTCAAATGCAAGACTTTCCATGGTGTATATATTGAGTGGAATTGCATATGTTCACCTTACTAAGTATTACCAAGCCGTTTTCAAAAGTGCTTGCAACAATAGAATAAAGTTTGTATGGCTCCATATCCTCACAAATGTTTAATGTTTTCCGACATTTAAAATGTTGCCTATCTCACTGGCAATTTCACCCAAGTTTTAATTACAATTTCACAAATGTGTAATAATTACACATAATATTATAGGTTCATGGGTTATTTGTTTGGACCCTTTCTGAATCCTGTTCATTTTGGGAAAACATTTTGATTGAAATATAACCTATTTCATAGGAGTACATAACTGTAAGGATGAACTTCAATAAATTTTCAAAAAAGTAAACACACTTTTGCACCCAAAATCCATATCCAAGAATAGAACATTATCAGCAATTCAGAAGCTTCCATTATTTTCGCCAAAATCATTAGCCATACCCCAAAAAAGTAATGACTATGCCACTTTCATTTTTAATGTACCAAAATTTTTTTCATATAAATTCATATAAGAATAGTTTTATTTTTTCATTTTCCTGACGAGTAATAAAATCAAACACCTAATCACATGTCTATCTGCTCATTTCTTATTTGGCTGCTGGCTTCCTTATAGATTTTGGATAAGTCTTTTGGATAAGTTATATGTGTTGCAAATATTTTTCCCAATTGATCACTTGCCTTTTTATTTTTATTTTTTAAGTTAAATTTATTGGGGTGACAATGGTTAGCAAAATTTACATAGGTTTCGAGTGTACAATTCTATAATACCACCTACAGTGTCTTCCAAAAATCAGACAATTTTAATTTTCATGAAGTGTAATTTATTTTTCTTCTATATTTGTATTTTTTAAATCCCAAGATATCTTTATTTACTACAAAGACTAGAAGATTTCTCTTATGTTTTTCGTTAAAGAAACTTTACACCCTTGGGCATTTACATTTAAGTCTATGTTCCATTTCAAGCTAAATTCCACGTATGGTAAAAGGTAAGGATAGATGTTCACTTTTTTCTACATATTTCTTTTCCTCATAGTAATCTATTGGGTTGTCGGAAAAGTCATGACATATTTTTTCTGTTTTTTGTTGCAAAAATGCGTCACAATTTTTCCGACAACCCAACAGTTATTTCAGAACTGTTTGTTATAAGGATTATCCTTCCCCTACTTAGATGGATTGGCACCTTTGTAACAAATCAAATACACTTTAACCATATATAATGGATTTATTTCTGCACTCTTTCTACTTCACTGACCTACATGTATACTTTTAAACCCCTACAGCACTTTCGTGAATAAAATAGGTATAAAATAAACCTTGAAATCCAGTGTTAGAAATTCTCCAACATTATTTTTTTCCTTTTTTTAAACTTTTATTGGGGAACAATGTGTCTTTTCTCAGAACCGATCAGTTTACAAGTCAAATTGTTGTCCTTCAATCTTAGTTGTGGAGGGCGCAGCTCAGCTCCAAGTCCAGCCGCCGTTTGTTGCTGGGGTGCAGCCCACCATCCCATGTGGGAGTCGAACCGGCAACCTTCTTGTTAAGAGCACAGCTCTAACCAGCTGAGCCATCCAGCCGCCCAGCAGCAGCTCAGCTCAAGTCTTGTCTTCAATCTAGTTGCAGAGGGTGCAGCTCAATGGACCATGTAGGAATTGAACCAGCAACCCAATTGCTCAGAGCTCACACTCTAACCAACTGAGCCATCTGGCCGCCTCCCAACATTATTCTTATCACAAATTGTTTTGGCTAATATGCACCCTTCACATTTCCAGATGTACTTTATAATAAACTTGTTAATTTCCAGGAGAAAATTTTTTTGGTATTTTTATTGGGATTGTGAGAAATCTAAGAGTGGGGAGAGAATTGCCATCTTAATAAAGTCAGTTTTCCAACCCTATGTATATCATTCCACTTGTTTAGGTCTTCATTTAGGTCTTTAATTTTTGTTTCAGAAATCTTTGGTAATTTTAGGTATACAGGACTTACACGTCTTTTGTTAATTTTTTCCTAAGTATTTTACCTTTCTTAATGCTATTATAAGTGGAATTTTTAAAATTTCATCTTTAGAAACAACTATTTACATAATGTACCCTGTAATGCTGCTAAACTTGCTTATTATTACCAGTGGTATTTTTCTACATTCCTTAGAATGCTCTGCATAAATCATGTAATTTGCAAATAAAGATAGTTTTACTTTTTTGTTTCTATCCTGTCTTTATTTTTCTTGACTACTGAAGAGGCTAGAACCTTCAGTACAAATTTGAATAGAAGTGGTGAGAAAAGGCACTCTTGTACTATTCTTGATCTTATAAAGAAAGCATTTAATCTTTTTCAAATTAAGAATATTAGCTATAGGGCCGTCCGAGTGGCGCGATGGTTAAGAACTGGCTTGGGATGCCAGAGGGCCCCAGTTCGAATCCCACATATGAGGGCCAGTGACACTGCCCTCTACAGCTAAGATGCTGAACAACAGCTCAACCTGGAGCTGGGCTGCTGTGAGTCGCCCGTAGGCTGCAGCCCCTGCTGCAGTGGGTTGCCATGGGCTACCGTGTGTAGCAAGCAGCCAGCTTGAGCGGCCAGCAGCCGCAGTGAGTGGCCGTCCAGAAGCCAGTGACTGATGTGCCTCGCCTGGGAAGAGCACAATGATGGTTCCAACTTGGGCCAGTGAAGCAACGTCCTCCACAACTAGACTGAAGAACAAAAAACGACAGCAACTTGTCTGTTCCCCTTCTCCCAATTCCCCAGCACTGTTCCCATCCCCCCAGTTCCCCAATTAAAAAAAAAAAAAGAATATTAGCTATACATTTTTCTTAGATGTCCTTTACCAGGTTGAGGCGGCGCCTTTGTAATTCCCAATATGTTAATAGTTTTTATCATGAATGGTTACTGGGTTTTGTCAATGCTTTTTCCTCTTTTATTAAGGTGATTATATACTTTTTCTCCTTTGAATATGGTTAATACACTAATTGATGGACCATTTTTATTTTCTAAGATCAAGTGCATTTGGTCATAGTGTATTATACTTTTTAAATACTATCATGCTATTTGGTTATAATAAAGATTTTTACCACCTATGTTAATGAACATATTGGTATATAAGTTTTCTTTTCTCATAATTCCTTTGTCTGGTTACAATAGGATAATGCATGCAAAGAAACAAGAAAGTATGGCCTATGCTCAGACAAAAATAATATAAGAGAAAACACATGCATTGGACTTAACTGTAAAAAACGTTAAACTGTCTTAAATACTCTCAGAGCTAGAAAGAACCATGGAAAAAGAGCTAAAGGAAAACAGAAGCCTGAGGCCACAAGAAGTAGAAAATATCAATAAGAAGACAGAAATTATAAAAAGAAATCAAACAAATTCTAGATCTGAAGAGTAAAATAATTGAAAGGAAAATTCATTAGAGAATTTAAGTAAGATCTGAGCTAGCAGTAGAAAGAATCAGTGACTATCAAGACAGGTCAATCGAAATTGTCAAGAAAAAAGAATAAAGAAAAGTGAACACGCCTTAAAGGAACTGTGGGACACCATTAAGTCAATATATACATTATGAGAATACCAGTAGGAAAACAGAAAGAAAAAGGGGTAGGAAAAAATACGTCAAAAGAGCCCCAAATGCCCCCAAATCTGATAAAATAAAAAAGTGAACCTAAAAAACCAACAACTTCACTGAAATCAAAGTAACATACACTCAAACAGATCCACACCAAAACGTATTATAAACAGTTAAAAGACAGTCAAAGAGAGGAACTTGAAAGCAACAAGAGAGAAGTTGTCACATACTAGAAATCCTCAATAAATTAACAGCCAAATTCTGATCAGAAGCCACGAAGGACAAAATGTAAAGAAATGATATGTTTGTGGTTTTTTTGATGCTCCTATTTATTTATTTATTTTTAATTAAAGTTTATTGGGGTAACAATTTTTAGTAAAGTTACCAAGATTTCATGCGTACAATTCTGTAATACATCATCATGTATCACACTGATGATGGTAAAAGGGATCAAATATATGGTGAAGGAAAGAACTGACTCTGGGTGGTGAATACACAAGAAATGACATTTAAAGTGCTAAAAGAAAAAAAGTGAATCAAGAATTCTGTGTATGCCAAAA